CACTGCGGCCTTCCACCCTCACCTGGCTGTTGCCTTAGCTCTTTCTGTTCCTATCTTCCACCTTGTCTTCTGGACCACAGCTCCCTGAGGACCAAGAGTGTGTTCTTTTGCACATGCCTTCATTCCCAGTTGATTGATGGATCAACTCAGTGCCTGGCACATATCCGGTGTTGGTAATGTCAAATGTGGGAGAGGAGGTTTGGTTGAAAGGTGTGTCATTTCTTGGGTACCACGGGCTAACTAAGAGCTGCAGTCATGCTGAGCAGAATGAGCAAAGATACCTCTGCACCCTGTGGCACTTGCACTGGCTGAGGGTTCTGATATCCTCTAGGGTCTCAGTGTACCCCCATCTCTTCCTGCCCCTCCCGGGAGAGACCTCACCATCTCTGCTCAGTTCCACTGGCACTGGACCACATGACTTCTCCACGAGGGAGCCAGGCCTTGGAACACCAGAGTCACGGATGACGGGCTGGGTGTCTCACCATCCTCAGACAGTGACGCCAATGTAGTGCGACTTCAACCAGCAGCACAGCGCTTTCTTCTTGGCCTCCAGTTGTTGCCCTCCTGGGCACTGGTCTCTCCATGGTCCTGAATTTTGACCCCTGTCCTGGGATATAGGGCTCTCCATGCTTGGATACATTCTATCTCTTCCTTCTCCCTGTTCTGGCCACTCCAGGGAGTGTCTTGTGGCCAGCTCCCCTGATGAGCAGAGCCTTCTTAGCCTTGCTGTCTCCCTGTCTGCTGTGCTGTTCCTGTAGCTCCGGTGTCCCTCACCCTGCGATCTCCAGGACCAGCTCGTGGAATGTCCACCCTGGCTCTTCCTCCCTCGTGCTGCATGGCGTGGGGGCATTTTCCCCATAGCTTGAGGGACTCACCCTGGCTGATTTGTTTCTCTGCCCGCTTCCCCAGCACGGGGGTTGCAGGAGAGCGGGAAGCACTCCTGTGTGCTGACCTAGGTCCTCATGCGAGAGCAGAGGCAGCGAGGCTGGGTGAGGAGCCAGCCATCATGTCCAGACTCCCACTCACCATATCCCTGGCCTCCCATGCGGGAGTAGACACAGAAGGGGTGAGGGAAGGTCTGTTGACTCCAGTGTCTCGGCCATGTGGGGATGCCTGGCCCTGTTTCAGCTTCTCCTTACCTTTGAAGGAAGTGGCTCACACTGAGGCTGGGGGAGAAGAGCTCGTTCGTTAGTCTCTGGACGTGACTATCCGCAGCTCACTGTAGAAAAGGCTCAGCCATATCTCACGACCTGCCTCTGCCCTTACTCTTTCTGGCACCGTGGCAAAGGAGAGGAGGGGACCTGTGACCCAGGGTCGCAGCTATCAGGCAGATTTCTTTCAAGTACTGTTTTGCAAGCCAAATAGTATAGCAGGCTCCTGGAAAGCACTTGCATGAGAATGTGCCTCCAAACACTTGGCGCCCTGACTACCCCTCCACACAGCCTACAGGGCTGGGGAGATGTGGATCTCCTAGTCAGCACTTCTGTAGAGGCCACTGGTGCCCATATACTTTGACCTAGAAGACAGGTGAATCCAGGAGTCTCTAGAATGTTCCAGATAAGGAAGTAAAGGTTGGAATTGGGGAAAATACCCCAGTCCTCTGACTCCTAGCTTTTCCTCTTTATCTGTACCACAGCCCTCGGCTGGAATCAGCACTCCTTCTCCATTTTACCCAGGAGATGCAGATGACCATGAGAATTTGGTCTCTTTGGACACAGAGACCATGGAGCCATTTGATGAACTGGCTTTTTGTTTGTTTTTAAAACTCCCAATGTGTTTGCTAAGGCTGAGATTGTATGGATAGCACTGGAGACCACAAATGCTTAAGTCTGACTTGTGTCCGTCTCTGCCATCTGCTGGCTGTATTATATTGGATAAATGACAATGTCTCTGAGTTTGGGCTTCTTTCCCTATACATAAACAAATGGATCTACAAGTTCAGAGCAAATTCTACAGGTCTGCTTCAGGAGGTAGCAGGCTGGCTGTCTGGGATGCAGGCTTTGGAGACTACCTAGAGTTTCTGTCAGCCAATCGAAGCTCTATTATTAGAGTATCTATTAGACAGTCTAGAATCTCTGTATGACTCTAGGCAGGTGACTCAATCTTTGGAGAGGCTGCATCCATCTTGAGGCTTTATGCTAAATCCTTACTTGCTGGTGATACAAGCCTTGGGTAATTTACTAACTTCCTCATGCTCTTCTTTCTGCATCTGTAAATAATAACCCATGCTCCATAAAGCTGTGGTAAAGATTCAATTCAATATGTCAACTTACTTTACATACTTGCAACAGCATGTGGAGCACAGCAAGCCATCCACATGCCCTGCTGGTCCTGGAGACGATTCCTTCTATCCCGCAGAGCAGTAACAAGGCCAGAAAGACTCCACCGAGGATGCCCTGTATAGTACTTCAGTGTGTGGCAGCCATTAGGATCACAAACCTTTTGTTTTTATTATTATTATTTTAAAAAATTAAGTAGCTGGGGTTTCAATTTCACAAGTCAAGAGTACAGTGCATGGTGACTAATGTCATTATCCCTGCCACCCCTGGGCCTGGTGCCTCTGGAAAGAGATGTATTGGCAACCTCCTGGCCAGTCTCAGAACAAAGGAACAGGACTATATGTCGGCTAGAGTCCAATCCTTCTTTCCACCCACCTCTCCCCACCATTTGGGATAGCTTACATCTCTGGTCAGCTACACTCAGCAATAGAAGCCATCAGGTGATGGATGAGCAGTGATTGCTTTCTGTCTGGTCCCCGGTGGGCTGCCGGTCATCCTCCTCTGCTCCCTCCTAGTCTTGCTGAGCACCTGCCTAAGTTCTGACACCTTCTACTCAGATTCTCAGCATAGGCAATGTTCCTGCCTGAGTAAGTTTCTGAACTCCCTTCGGCTTCTACTTTTATATCGGTGTAATGGGAGTAACATTTACTTTGTAGAGCATTTGTTGTGGGTTGCATCCCCAGTCTGGTGACCGACATACCACAGGTTCTATATCATTGCTAGTGTCCTTGCTTCCCAACTGGAAAAAGGGTTTCCTATTTCTTTGCTGTGAGAACAGCAAAGCCTACCTGGAGCTCAGTAAATATTTCATCAGAATAAACAAGTGAAATGAACAGCTCCTTTATTACCTAAGAACTAGAAATGCCAATTGCTGAAGGCAACTGGGAAATGAGGGGCTTGAGATTCTAAGCCTCTCTTGCTGCAAAAGCAGGTGAACTGCGGGGGCCCCAATATCACTAGGATGCCTAGCTTAGGGTATTTAAGGAGCCATTTGTCCTAACTTTAACCAAATGGGTGATGGGTTGATACTGAGCCTGTTGAATGCAGGACCAAGCTTGGTGATGCCATGAACTAAGTTTGTGATGGCTAGCAGCACTTTGTATTTGTTGTGGGAGTGACTCAAAACAGTTCGAGCAACTTCTGCCTTAGAGAAAACCCTCCACCTTTTCTGCGCCTGTGATCTTCATTTTGGCCTTGCCATCTGGTCTGAGGAACCAGCTCCTCCCATTGGGATGCAGGCAGACATGACGCAAACCTGAAGTCTGTTCTGAGCATTAGCTGTCAGCCTCCAGAGCTTTGCTCCTCATCTAGCATGAGACCTTTTGAGTCAACCCGTTTTAAATTTTAAACTCATTTAAATGACACACAGTCCCCAGTCTGTCCCTCTGGCAGGCAGCCCACATTACAGCAATTGATTGTCACCCTACAGCTGCCGCTGTCCCGGGCGGGGTGGTCTAAATATCGCCTGGTGCCTGCCTGTGTCTTCTCTCATGTTTAGTCCTGAGCAGACAGTTCGGTGCTATCTCCAAAATAACCTGTTCTCTGGGGCTTGTCAGACCTGGCGGTGCCTTTTACCATAAATACTAAAAATACCTCCTTCCAAATCAGGAGAGATCGCATTTGTTGGGTTCAAAGGGGCCCTCCTCTGCTCTGTGCCAAAATGCAGATGGACCCAAATTGGAGAGATGGTCATTCCTCATGAGACGAACAGGATGTTGGAGCTTCCTGGTGATGTGCGATCAAAGTAACGATGTGTGATAGACAAGTTGCTTCCCGGGCAGGGCTGGGTCACAGGGAGGGAAGCGAGCTGCCTGTGGCCCAGGTTGAGGGCTTTCCTTCTGTACCACCATTCTTGGGCTTAGCCTTGCCCAGGCCCCAAAGAGGCCCCTCTACACGGGTGTGTTTGGAAATCTCCCCTACTCAGAGAGGCCCCAGAACTGGTTGGTTCTGGAACCAAAGCTTAGACCTAGTACCTTGACATTCAGAGCTAGGGCTTGTTCTGAGCTAGTTAGAGAGACTGAAAGAGCTCATTATATGTCAACTCCTTTTAAAGTGAAGATTCTGAAGACTTTAGATAAGACATTTATGTAACACAGTATATGCCTTTATTATATGACTTACTTCATTGCTTTTAGATAACTGAGAGATTTTTCTGCTTCTGGAATTGCATTCTGCCATTAAGGAGGATAGCTGACCTTTTCTGTCTGTATCTCCAACACCCAGTTCCCATTGTGCTCGTTTTCATATACCAAGTGCCGTCAGCTTAGATGGCCTTTTGGTCTCTTGTCAGTCTGGCTCAATTTTTACTGTTCCTATAAGAGGAGATTTCCAGGAAAGCCTTCCTGTGCTTGACAGAGCAGGGGATCCACCTGTGCCCCATCTCCCCCAGACCCATCAATTCCATGGGGTGGCTAATACTGCTTCCCCGCTCTGGCCCCCTGTAGTATATGGGCTGTGAGTTCATTGGAGCTGGGGACACTGTCTTGTCTACTGTGTATCCTCTAGAGAGCATGGCATCTGCAGAGCCCGTGCTTGTTAGCAAAGGCGTGTGTCAGAGCAAGAGTCCATGAATGTGGAGCTGTCGGTGGACAGCTGCTCAGGCAGGGAGCGTCCCTCCCCCTCCCCCCCACGGCATGGGGGGTGGGGTCCTTGGCAGTCACACTTCACGGGGTGACCATGTGCGTGTTTTCTCATTGGTCTGTTTCCTCTTCCCTTTCTCAGATGTGCTGTGCCCCAGCATCCGGGTAGAAGGAGATCGATTTAAGCACACCAATGGAGAAACCAAGGAAATCACAGGTAGGAGAGGCAGCATGGCCACACAGGTTTGATCTTGGGTGCTACTTGCTGGACCTGCGTGTGACCCTAGTCAACCTAGGAGAGGTCTTGCTGACCGCATCCTCATTCTTGTCTGTTACTGAACTTTGGAGAGAGGTCTGGAATGTACAGATGCCGGCAGTGTGTCTAACAGTGACAAGTGTTCACCATTTTCCACGTGGCAGTCTGGGAGCATCCTGTCAGATTTACCACCTATCACATTCAAGAGAGTGCATTATGCACTGGTTAGCAAGTCCTTGAGCAAACAACTGGCAAAGTGAGGGGAAGATCGAATACTGAAGGCACTTAGGAAAGAGGTGGGGAACGAATCAGTGTAATACGTGTAAGAGGGAGCCAGTGGGTGAGAGGACCGAGAGACAGCTGACTGCGGATCGGCAGCAGAGAGAGCCACAGCAGAGGCTTGTCACAGCCGTCTCTGCAGATGACAGAGCAGCCTGAGGGGCGCCCAGACCCCGGCATCCTGACAGTGCTGAGCGCTGACTGTCATTCCTCTGGCCAGACTTCCTGCCCAGCACTTTGATTTGATTTGCGTGTTTTTGAAGCAGTTTCCTCTCTTCCTTGCCACTCAGTGTTGAAACCTGCCTCTTCTCACCCATGTTCTCAGCTCAGGGAACTGTCTCCCTCCTCTGTTGCCCTCAGTCTAAATCTTGGTTGGCAGCCAGTTTTGTGAAGTCAGATTAACTTCTGGGCAGGTGCTGCCAGTGCCATGCTCCCTTCCCAGGGGCTCTGCCCATAGCAGAGAGCTCTGCCCTCTAGACTTCAAGATGCAGCATCTGCGTCTTTGAACCTGAGGAAGAGGCTTCTGTGTCTGTGCTGCAGAGCAGGCAGGATGTGCCAGGGGAGTTGGTACTCCTCAGAGCAGTGTTCAGTCAGACACTTGGTGTGGAGTGCTCCCTGCCCCACGGCTCCTGTGTGGGTTCGTGCTTATGTCCATGTGGGGAAGTGTCTGGAGGCAGAGGTGGACTGGCAGGTCTGGGCTGGATAGATTGGACGGCACTGTATCTGAGAGCATGGATTGCCAAGGCAAGTCAAACTCCCTGGTGATTTTATACCCTGGGCAGAATGGCCCAGCTATAAATGCGCTCATTTCAGGGTATCTGAGCAAGCAAAATGAAGAGATGAAAATTTGCCCTTAGCTTGTAGATTGGACAAAAGAAAGTGACCGTGACAGTGCTTTGCTGAGCCTCAATGGCTCAGCACACGTCCCTCCAGGGAGAAGAGACAAGTGGACGTGAGTTGCATGTACACCGTGTGCAGTGGTTAGCTCAGGGTCATCCGTAGATCCAGCCAACATCATCCTCTCTTCAGAAATTCTTCTGGGTATTCTGAGACCTGCAATTATTGTTGACTTCAGGCGCTAAGCAAAACAAAAAAAAATATAGAATGAATATAGCAAGGAAGTGGACAAGGAGAAACTCTTACCCACTGGTGGTGGGGATGCACACCAGTAAAACATTATGGAAAACGGTATGGAGGTTCCTAAAAGAAACAAAAGCAAGGGTTACCATACGGCCCAGCGACTCCTCTCCTGAGGATGAACCAGAGGAAAGGAAGTTGTGCTGGAGGAGGCAGCAGCAGCAGGCACTCAGGTCGGATTCAGTGCCTTTCTTCCCAGAGTGGCCATTTAGTGAAGGAGTGATGCTATTCAGGTGAACTGCCCTCACCTTGTAAAGACACAGGAGCCCTCAGGCTGACTGGGGATAGACACAGTGCTCTGAGCACAGGACTCTTGTGGGGTGAGGGGTGTGAACACAGAGGTGTCTGTGTGTGAACAGGGTCTGCATGTGGTCAGCTGACTCAGGCTGTGGTGAGGCCCTCCCCCCCCCCCCCCCAGGCTCGGCCGTTACCCAAGTGCTTCTTTATTGCACAGCACCTTGCGTCGCAGTCCATTACCCCAGGAGTGTTCTTCATTTCCCTTCCCAGCTTTTTATTTATTTCAGGCCATTCGTCTTTTCCTCCGGGCGTACCCTTTGCTGCCACCTAGTTAATTGCTTGTTGTTTAAAGTTATGTCCTGCTCAAGTCTTTGACTGTATTCGTTGAAGCCAATAAAAGTGGAATCATAAAGTAGACTTTTTAGGTTTTTTTTTTTTCTCTTCAAATCCACCCACATGCAGCTGCTAAGGGGGACATGTAGGTGCAGGTGGCCTTGTCCACTTCAGCCAAGAAAGCTACGAGGCTGCTCAACAGGCCCCTTGTGGTTCTGGCCGCTCCCTCCTCATGGGGCGCTTGGGCTCAAGGCCGCCTCAGTGCTGGATGTGGTCTTTGGCTCTCACTGGCTCTGGCAGCCCCATGCTTGGTCTTGGAGCCATGGCTCCGGCTCAGTTCACCTGTGAGCCTCCTGTCATCACTGGTCCTGTGGGGCCCAGTTTCAGGAGTCTGGGGGTCGCCTAGGAAGCCGTTGCCATGGCTCCTCTGGACAAGATCAGTGAGGGCGCTGGGTCAACACAGCAAGTCCCCCGAGCGGGGCTCAGGGGCTGGGAGCTGGGAGGTCTGGAAGCAGCGTCCTCTGCTCCTCTGGGATACCCCCACTCTCTCTCCCTGATGTCAACTGCAGCTCTTTCAGCTTGTACCTGCAGGACCTCCCAGGTCCTGGGGCCCCTGTGGACGGCATTCCCTCATCCTTGAGCCACTGAGGACCAGGCCACCAGACAACCTGGGTGCCCCTGACCTGGGTGAGCCCCTCCAAAGTCCATTCCTATCTTTTAATTTTTCCTTCTCTGAGGAAAATCAGATCCCAGGCAAGGTCTGTGCCCTTGTCCCTCTGGGCGTCAGTTCCACGGGGACTAGAACTGCAAGGCCTCCGGGAACTTCTCCATCAGTGTCCTGGTCCCCTTCCGCCATGTGTCCCACTCCCAGGGGTCCACAGGAACAGGCGAGGGTCCCAGCCCACACAGCAGCCCTGCGACTCATCAGACCTCTTGTTGCATGGCACAGAGTTCATTCTGTAAACTGCTCCTGTCCCGGGCAGAAGCCAAGAGATGCTGGATACCTTTGCTTCTTCCCTTAGGTGGGGATAGGCTCACAGTCCTCAGGAAAGCAGGCTCAGACCCTCAAGTGGGCTGAGGGCTATGCAGGCCTGAGTGCAGAGTCAGGGGCTGCCGGCTGTCGTTCAATAGGTGTCTCTTGTCACTGGCCTCTCCTTACGTTTGGGATCTCTTGGGGGCCTTCCAGGACTTACTCCCCCTAGGACAAGTGGCTGCTTCTTGCCAAGATTGATCCTTGGATCCTGGACGTGTGTAGTCAGAGTGATGGCAGTGAGGCTCAGGAAGAAATGGCCTTGACGTGTCAGGGATTCTACAGATGCCCACAATGGTGCCAGGAAGAGCTCATGCTGTTGTCTGAGCAATCACTGGGTGCTGGCTTCCCTACCAGCACCGCAGGACATCCTCAGGGAATTGGCCCCTCTGTGTTTTCCAGTTAAGGAAACAGGTTCCACTGAGTCCAGTAAGTTCCGCACAGCCACTCAGCCTCAGGGTCTGTGGCTGGGGCTCAGTGAACAGTGCAGGTGCGCACAGCACATCAGCCTCTTTCCCAAGGTTAACACCCACATCATGAATGCACATTCTGCCTTCTTCCTGGCCCGTCCCTCGACATGCTACGGGCAAACTGTAGAACTGAGGGGTTCTCTACTTCATGCAAACTGGTCATTCAGATTTACTACTGGGCAAGACAGTTCCTTTGGAAAACAGACTCTTTTGTAGATATGTCATTATTGGTGCTAAAAATGCAAAATGATGATCCCATTCCATCTGTTCTCCCAGCTTACAGATGGGGGAACTGCATCTAGGGAAAAACGTGACTCAGCTCTGGTCTCAGCCATTCAAGGTCAGGGAGCCTCACCCAACTCCCTCCATCACCAATGTTTATCCAGCTTGCTAGGGGCTTGGAGGAGTGCTCATGCTGTCATTCATGATGGGTATCGTTTAGATCATACGGTACTTAGTGAGCTAACACGAGGTTTCAGGCACAGTCCTGTGTGTTTTATCGGTTTAAGCTGAAAATGAGACATCCCGCATCACAGACTCACAAGTCAGACTAATATTGCACCATCAGCCTCCAGAATGAGTAGTGGCTCTACAGAGCCATTCAGATTGCTCCTAAGAACGTTGTAAAAGCCTCCCATGTGGTGAAGTGTGGGTAGGACGCACTGGTGGTAAGTAATGAACGATTACTTGTAACAGATCTGCTTGGTGGATCTTCTACAGCCTGCCGGGGTCTCCCGATATCGGAAGGGCCTTATCCTTTAGGCTTCTGCTGGCTAAGGAACCTGCCATGCTTATCCAAATATGCCGCTGAGCAGGAGGCAATTCCCTTCCCCACCCCGCCACTCCCTCCAGGCCAAGGCCAAGCCGGGACCACTCCATTCCTTCCCATTCACAATGCTTCCTCAGTTCTCTTAGAAGGAAAGCCAAACCCAAACAAACCAAACCAAACACCTTCTGTGAATGCGATATTGTGAAGGCAGTTTTCTCTCTCGTGTTTCTGTAAAATCATCCGATGTAAAAGCTGCCAGACTGCCACCCAAGCAGAATCCAAATGGAAAGGCAAAGCTGTGACTGTAGGAAGGAAAGCCCCATGCTGTAATGTGCCCACGGAAGCCATCCAGGTGTTTGGGCCTCTGGAACACCGGGCTCCCCTAGCAGGAGGCGACCGGCGTGCCTTCCATTTGCCTCACGCTTGACTGTGAAACAGGATGCTCTTAACTCAGCTCACATTCCAGTGGGACAGCCTGCGTCTGCATCCTGCCCCAGTGTTTCCTTGGAATGTCACCTGAGGCTCGGATCTGTGGCTTGTTTTCTCATGAGTGTGTGTTAGAGCAGTTTGCTCTGTCTCCAGTGGCAAGGGTAGGCAGACTGCCTGGTTTTGAAGAAAGAGGAGAGGGAGAGAGGAGAGAGAGAGAAAGGAGCTCTTCCTTTGTCTCCCACAGTCCCCTCTGTCAAACTCACTCCCAGCTCTTCTCTTTGCACAGGTTTTGACCTCATGGATTTGTTCAATGTGAAGGAGATCCTGGGGAAGAGAGAGGATGGAGCACAGAGTTCCTATGTCCGAATGGGATCCTTCCCCATGGTGCAGAGGACTGAGTAAGTGCTCTTTTCCCTTTCTGGATGCCTGGGCAAAGAGCAGGGAAGGGCCCAGTCAGCTGTATGCTGAGCACCAGTACTCAGGGGCGATTGGTGAGGTCACACTTAGATAAATTAACTCAGCCACCAACCTGCGGAGTCAATCTGGTTCTTCATTCATTATCACTGACTTAATGGTTCTCTGGTCCCTTCACAGCCATTTATCTATATTTGGTCATAGTCATTCATCCATGCATTCTTCTGTTAGCTCATTAAATAACAAATATCCCTGGTAACAGGGACATAACACCTACTGTGGATCAGCCATTGCGTTATATGGGAGACACATACCTCTCATGATCATGTACAGATTGGGCCAATAGAGACCCAGTTTGAGTGCCTAGCTTGGCACGTTATTGAATGCCCCCACATCTCCATTTCTCCTGATTCTGCCTAAGAGATTGACATTCCTGACCACCTTGCTTTGAAAGCTTCGTGGTTTGTACGTCCATTGTCCTGTGTCTCCATTGTCTTCTGGAGCCTGTCTCTCACTGTCAGGCCTCTGCTGGTGCTCTTCTCCTTACCCGGGACACCTCTGCTCCTTCAAGTTTAACCATTGTGCTCTGGAGCACATTCCTGCTGGGCTGCTAGACTGAGCTAGGCCCTCCCTTTATCCACTCCCCTCATGCCTGCATCTCTGCACAGAACGAGCTACCAGGTGCACATCCAATCACCGTAGAGTTATTCCTCTGCAGTCAGCCTGCCCTGCTCTACTAAACTCTTGGTGGGGACTGTGTCCTCATGTCTGCTGCAGCCCGAGTGCTGAGCTAAGTCATTCCCCACACAGGGGGTTGCTGGGCTTTGATGCGTGAATAAACCAGGCCACAATGAGTGAACTTTAAATGTGTTCAGGTTCTTGCTTATGTTGTGTGTAGTGATTTCGTTCAGTGAGCATGGTCTGAATTCCACCCCTACACCAGGCCTGGCATGAATGGAGATGAGAAAAGGTGCTTCCTTCCCCTGGGCCTTGTTTCTCAGGTATCAGATGGAGGTGGTGGTGCTCACTTCAGCTGTTTCCCAGACATGGAACACTTCCCTCGGCAGTAACGCACGGATGCCTGGGGGATGCTCTCAGTACTCCCTGCTCCCACATGGGTTAAGGAGTACACACGGAGGGACAGAACCAGGCTCTCCTCTCCTCTCCATCCTCCCCAGCCAATTCCCCAGCCATACTGCTCAGAAGCAGAAAGAACCATATGCTAAACACAGGATATTGAGCAACATTACACAAATCTCTGAGGAAGGGCCTAGCGGAAGATCCTTTTCATTTTCTAGCAATGCCTCATTTTCATGAGATACTTGGATCAAACACTCAAATGGCTGTAGGCTCTATTCTGTGGAACAGAGGATTGGATGCAGGCTGTGGGTTATGTATTTGGGTTCTGTGATGTTCACATTTGTCCTGAGAAGGAATGGATTTTTTTTTCTATATGGCTTCCTATTTGTTTTGGTGGCACGACTCCTGACAGGAAATCAAACCCACAAAGCTTTGATATTTTAGGAAAGAAGAGTTTTCCTTTAATGTCCGATGCTTTGAAATGTATATATTCATAGTTTAATTTCAATATTTGTGTCTTCCTTCTCACTTATTTACCATGTGAAGGACGTCTTACACATCTAATTTATTTCTCACTGCTGTAAACAGAAGGGAGCATGGCATTATTATCATTGATCTGGTGCAAGATCTGAGATTCTCAAAGGGGCAGTAGCTTGTCAAAATCTCCCAGCTTATAGGAATGAGAAAACTGGCCTCATCCTGAGGTCCTCTAACTCTCTAAACCACTGCCCTTTGCATGGTAGTCACACAATCTGCTGTATTACTTGTGGAAGGAGTGTATCAGAGTGTTTTATTCCCTATTGCCCTCTCTTGCCAACCCCTTGATTATAATGATATTAGGTTGTGTGTGTGTGTGTGTGTGTGTGTGTGCGCGCGTGCGTGTATGTGTGTGTGTCTACCTTCCTATCTACCTATTACCTACCTGCTTATACCACTTTTGTTGGGGGTATAAATGTGTGTGTGTGTGTGTGTGTGTGTGTGTGTATGTGTATGTGTGAATGTACCTTAAACATACAAGGAGAAAGTGCAGCCCAAAAGAAAACAGTAGCACAGCCAGACTCACTAAGGAAAAATAGAGAAAGAAGAGGAAGTGAAATGTCCCTCTGTGGCTGGTGAGCCTGTGTCTGCAGACCTAGATGAGGACAATTTGTCTTTTTCCACATGGACATGCTGGTCCTGAGAGAAGCCCTGGTGCTCTAGGTTGGTGATAGGCTCTTCCTCCTGCCTGAATGCCTCCTGGGTGAATTCTCAGCTCAGACAATAATCCTGAATGACTGCGCTACCTCCCACTTTGGATCTGCGTTCTGAGAATCAGGGAGGCCTGATCTTTCCTCATATGTTTAGTGGTCAAAAGAAGGGTCCCTGAGGATCTGCAAATCTAAGAACCAGGCACGCAGACGCCTCCCTACTTCCCTTCCTGGATGTCTGGTCAGACAGATTCTTCTTCAATGGCAAAGTCAGTGTGCTATATGTTCCCAGAGGCAGCCCTCTGCCCAGACAAGGCTTGGGGTTCGCCATGACCAGCTTCTGCAGAATGAACTCACAGTCAGCCGACTGATGCCTAAGCCAAGAGATATATGGAGACCGGACTCTTTGGGTGTGAACTCTGTCTTCCATGTTGCATTGAGTCTGGGTCCCCTCACCTATAACACAAGGATTGGAATACCTACTTTGTGCATTATTTCAATAAAGACATGAGACATACACCAAAACTTACTGTTGGCTTTGTATTAAACCCTTCAAATTTTCACTGAAGGATTCTTACATCAAATGAGATCATGTGAGTAACTTGTAGGTTACTTTAAGAGAGAATTAAACTAAGTTTGTTTTGCTAGGATGTGAGTCTAGCATAGGTCAGTGGTCTCAAACAGGAATTTTTTTTCCCCATGTAAAATGCAGCAGTATCTGGGAGGCATTTTGGTTCTTACAATGAGGGTAGAAGGAATGCTGCTGTCACCTTGAGGGAGGAGGCCAGGGTTACTGGGTATCCTACAAGACGCTGCTCATAGCAGTGTTGTCTAGGGAACCGGGCCTCTGCAGAAAGTGTGGTGAAAGTTTTTGGGAAGTCTCTGGTGCTGTGAGTGCCATGGTAGTGCTGAGAGACAGGAACTCATCAGCTTTCTTCACCAGAGACGTCATGAGGAAATGTGAAATGTGAGGAGGAGAAAGGGATTGGGGCCAGGTGGCCATGAGTTGAGCAAATGGGGAGAAGAAATGAGAGAGTGTATAGAAAGCGTTTTCTAGAACCCTATTGGTAAGGGGAGGGGAAGGGAGGTGGGAAGCAGCCAGGGATCGATCCACAGAGGCTTTGCTCTGGCAGCGGATGGAGCTGGAAGGACATGGGCTCGGAGGATGCGGTGGGAAGGCATGGAGGCATCGAGCCTGGCTGGTCCAGGACTTGGCCCTCCATGGGGATGGGGGAAAAGGGCTGGGACTGGCTGGGGAGGAGCAGCGGGGAGTGGAGGATGCCCCCAGATGAGGGACTGGCTCTGCCTACCCGCTGAGGCCAGGGTCTGGCAGGGAGAGCAAAGCGTCCTATGGTTTGGCCCATTACGGCTGATATAACAAAGTTGATGTAACTGCAGCTTATTTATCCTGGCTCTGAGGGTTGGGCGGCCTGAGGTTAGAACTCCACAGTCTTGGACTTCTCAGGGTGAAATCAGGCAGTGGACAGGGTGAGCAGCCTCTGTGGACTCCACCCTCTAGACCTCATCTCTCTCCAAAAGAAAGCCCCACCCTCTAATCCCATCACCATAGGCTTTAGGATTTCAGCCCATAAATCTGGGGAGGGTATACCCATGAAGGCCGTAGCATCCTGGGATGAGGGACAGGGGGACAAGGCAGGGTACAATATGGCAGGATGTCCTTGCTGAGAAGGAGCAGGGTGGGGAGGGGAAATCCAGGAGTCACCACTGTATTTCTTTTGGGGGGAGGAGGGAAGAGACCCCTTAACCTCTATTGCTTCTGGCAGAGAGATGAGCAGATGAGCATGGCTGGGTGGATTTGAAGGAGCTGAGGAGGAAGCATTGGACAGGCCACAGGGGTGGTCTACAGAGGTTCGGCACTCGTGCAGGCCACGAGGCGGGCTGTGGAATTCTTTGGAAGGTCAAACCAGCAGAACTTGGTAGCTGAGCAATGGCTTCTGACACTCTAAGCCTGGGGTTTTCTGTCTCTCTTTTCCCCCAGGGATGTGTTTCCCCAAGGTCTTCCTGATGAGTACGCCTTTGTCACGACCTTCCGGTTCAGGAAAACATCTCGGAAAGAGGACTGGTACATCTGGCAGGTCATCGATCAGTATGGCATCCCTCAGGTGTGTGAAGCACCGCCCTGCCTTGGGGTGGAGAGCCTGCCTCCTTCTCCCGGGAGATTGCGTGGGTCACTTTGTTCTCAATGGCGCTCAGATCCAGGCTGGAGCCTCACAGCTCTGCTGGAGAAAGTCACATAACCCCCAGGCCCAACTTGTTCTCCCAGTAATAAACCAAGACCAACCCTGAGCGAGGGGGACAGGAAGGGGACCTTGTTCCTGTGTTCAGTGACTCCCTGCTTAGCCATGGAAGTGGCCTCTAGCTCTACTGTCAAATGCCATTTGCTATGCTGGGAGCACAGGTGGCAGAACTTCATGATACAGGTCAAGTACCTGGGCCAAATCCTGCCCACATCCTTTCTTGGTATGGCCCCTCAGACAAGGCTCTGAGACGTGGTTTTCTTAGGTGGAAAATGGAAAATATAGTATACTTACCATGATTGTTTGAGAAAATCAGATAATACATAAAAGCATCCATATGAGTGGCTGGTATATATGTGTGTGTGTATATATATGTATATATATGTGTGCATATGTGTGTGTGCATATATATATGGTCAGGAGTAAGTGTCTTCTTATGAATGGACGAGTTCTTCTGTTTACTCATGCATGAAGCTCTGAGCTCCATCTTCCGCCACATCATTGGCTTCTAGTACCCACAAGGCAGAACAACATTTCAGTGGCACAACCCAGTGAGAAAGACACATCTTGGGATCAAAGTTGTATAGACACAGTCTTGTGGCTCGGGAGGAACGCAGCACTATTAACCATGCTCCCCCAAATCCTCTTTTTGCTGAGTTCACAGGCCAACCATCTCTTTGTCCAGTCATGGAAAATAAACTGTGCGTAAACGTTCCTCACCGTCAGTGAGGAGAGACTGTCTGCCTTTTAATGTGAGGATGAAATACATCAAAAGCATGCTAGAATAAAATAGGACCAGCAGTCCTTGCTGCAGAGTTCTGTCTAAGAGAATCAGCTACTTACCCCAAACAAACAGGCTTGCTCGTCGGGTGAAAACCCACCCTGGCACCGCACGCATTGCTCTCCAACATGCATGTGCTCTGTGTATGACGCGGGTGATGGTAATGGGGTACATGACACATCTGGCCTTGCCGTGTTCTTGTCTTAGACCTGCAAGTAGGTTTTACTCTTTTTACCTAACAGGGGAGGAAACTGAGCCACGGAAAGAATTGGGTATTTGAGTTTTCAGATGTAGTAAGAGTGGGAATTGAGATTTGGACCTGGGCGGTTGAGCTTTCTGGCTGATTCTATTAATCACCTGCTCAGCTGGTCTCTGTGCTAGTCTGACCTGATCGGCTAGTTCCGGGGAATGACTTTTCTGTACCATCTTGCATCACATTGGGACGTGGCAGGCTGAAGGAGAGGTTGAGATTCTTCTTCAGAGACCACCTTTCTGGAGCGTAGGCAGCTCATTGTGCGTCCTCCACCTCCATCTCCAGTTGGATACACATTTGCTCCTCCATTTCTCAGGTCTGACGAGTGGGCCTGGGTTCTTGCCATGACATTCTTGTGGGGTGAGCCCACACCACCCCCTCAGTCTGGGTTCTCTTCTTTCATGGCATTTGCAGAGCTGTGTGTGCTTCCCTGCCATGTCTTTATCTCCCCCCCCCCCCACCCTCCCCTACTTCTTCTGGAATGAGCTGTGGGTAGAAATACCACAGAGCCATACACAGGTTGAGTCTGCTTTGGAAGAGCTGAGACTCATGTTTGAAGAGACACCGGCTGGCTCACTTTCACTTGGTGGAGCTACTGTTGGTGGTGCTTGTTTACCCAAGGAAATGCTAGGTTGTCACAGGAGTATTGCATCTGGGCCTGCCAGAAGATGAGCTGCCTGCTGAAGGTGGTCAGTTGCTCTGCGGGCTCTCTGTGGTCATTGCCCGTCTGTTGACAGAGAGGTGTGTCTCCTTGATCACATGTGGCACTTAAAACTGCCCTTGAATGCTGGCGTTTTCTGCAGATGTCATTTGAGGAAGTCCAGATAGGATGAACAGGAGAGAGGCTGGTACAGCTGGAACACTCATGTGTGTGTGTGTGTGTGTGTGTGTGTGTGTGTGTGTGTGTGTGTGTGTGTGTGTGTAAGGAAAGCCAAGTTTACAGAAAGCACTGAACATGAGTAGGAGTCAAAGGGCTGTGGAGCCATGCAGACAAAGCCCTTAAAAGTCAGACTGTGAGGTCCAAGAGCAGACAGTAGCATTATTGTCAGAATAGAGGAGGGCTAACCCAGAGGGCAATGTGACCATGCTTTCATCCATCCATCCCTCCATCCATCCCTCCATCCACCTATCCATCCATCCATGCATCCATCCATCCCTCCCTCCATCCCTCCATCCATCCCTCCATCCATCCCTCCATCCATCCATCCATCCATCCATCCATCCCTCCATCCCTCCATCCCTCCATCCCTCCATCCCTCCATCCATCCCTCCATCCATCCCTCCATCCATCCGTCCATCCATCCATCCATCCCTCCATCCATCCCTCCCTCCCTCCCTTCCTCCCTTCCTCCCTCCATCCATTCATTCAGTGAATCCTCAGCTTCTGGCCCCTGTATGTACACACTGACGTAGTATTCATCCCAGCCATTGTTGATTTTCTGGCAGGTAACGCATAGCTTGCCTGCCTCACACAGGACATTCTGTGAGTGTTGTGGAGGGTGAAAAAGTGAACATGCCGGGGCATTCTGAGAACATGTTCATTCACTCCTCAAAAGCAGTCACCAGTCAACCCTTCTCCAGGGCTTGCCTTTGCTAGAGACACTGTGCACAAGGCTAGGAACACTCACCTTTCCCAGGCAGACCAGGCTCCTGACACAGGAGACACCCTGTCCTAGCAAGAGACCCCACAGATGGGGTCTCGTGTTTGGATGTGCAGTCTGGCCAGGATATGCATTTGGTTTAGTCAGGCAGGGGTCTTTGGAGACCCTGGGACTAGTCAAGATTTCTACTAGGTCTCACCACCCAGCCCTTTTGCACTCATTGTCTGGGTCTCTTATCTGTATGGCCCCTTAAGGCAGGTGAATGTGGGATCCCTGGGTAGAGCGTGAATTTGATAGTAAATTTAGAGCAGCCTGGATAGTAGCTAATAATGTTCTCATATGGAGGAGGAAACCAAGGCTCAGAGCTGGACCTAGCTGGCCTGAGTGACAGCTGTCCGTCAACTAATGAGAGCCAGAAACCAGGACCGAGCCATCTTTGTTAAAGAAAAATCTCCCGTGTAGCTCAGGGCACACAGTAGGTGCTCAGCAGGCCCCTTCCCCGCAGGTCTCCATCCGGCTGGATGGTGAGAACAGGGCCGTGGAGTACAACGCCGTGGGGGCCTTCAAGGACGCCGTCAGGGTGGTCTTCCGGGGTCCCCGGGTCAATGACCTCTTTGACCGGGACTGGCACAAGATGGCTCTGAGCATCCAGGCCCAGAACGTTTCCCTGTATATCGACTGCGAGCTGGTGCAGACGCTGCCCATCGAGGAGAGAGAGAACATTGACATCCAGGGCAAGACGGTCATTGGCAAACGCCTGTACGACAGTGTGCCCATCGACGTGAGTACCAGAGGGCTCCTGCAACGGGGCCCGGCCACGGGGGCCCGGGAACCCAAAAGCCCTGATGCCACGCGCCCACACGCCAGGGGTCAAGTCAGGACTGCAGGCCATCCTAGAAGGGAGGTCCTGGATCGGGAATGAATGTTCATTCATTCATCCACTCAGTCAGCCATTTCATCAACCCCCACTCCGTCTGTTCTCTTGGCCTGGCCACTGTCGGTAACGCTTCCCTGTGGGCAGGCGTGTTTCATACCACGGCCCTTAACTTTTGCACCTATGTGTTAATGGTTTTAAGTGTGAGAGGTGGTGGTATTATTCAGTGTGGGTTAGCCGCACATTCTAATCTCAGCATACTCAAACTGCTATACGGAGATTTTGCAAAGAAGCTGAAAAATAGGAACACAGTGAACCCCAGAGACCCCTGCCACACCTGCTCTGATGGCGACAAGGAGGTGGGCAGGTGCGTCTGTGCCCGGGTCGGGGCTGGAGGCGTGGTCCCTGCAGAATAGAAACAAGTGGAGTTTCATGCTTGCCCTGAGCCTGCCTGTGCTTAGGCTCCCTCCGGAAGCGGGGGTGGGGTGCAAGAACCATGGTTAGCTTCCCTGTGAGCTGCAGCATTGCAGCTGGAGGTGGGAGGCCTGAGGAGGAAGTAGGCCAGGTGACGGGGCGGGGCTTGCCTGATACCATGGAGATTTCTGGCTCATGGTTCCTGAGATTCATCCTCTCTCCTCTTGTTCCTTCCTAGTTTGACCTGCAGCGGATTGTGATTTACTGCGACTCAAGACATGCAGAACTAGAGACGTGCTGTGATATCCCATCTGGTCCGGTGAGCAGATCTGGACAGAGTGGGTGGGAGGAGGTTCATGGGGGGCTGTGGAGGGGCGTGTCCAGGACTTAGGAAGGGGCAGTTGGGATCAGAGGGGCACTGACCATCACAATGTGGTCTGTGGGCAGCCTTGTGACCATTTTGGGTTTTGATTGCAGTTCCTACCAGGAATGGGTTGGGTATGTCAAGTTAAGCAGGTTCCCCCCAGGGGCTGCTGTGGTCTGGACCTTAGCTGACCCCAAAGCTGCCAGCAACGTGACAAGGTCCAGCTTTGGGAAGCACAGGAGGTAGAAGCTGGAAGGTACTCTAAAGAAGGACTATCCTCTGTGCCCCCAGTACTTGGGGAAGAGGAAGCTGCCTGAAGCAGCCTGGAGCTGGGTAGTGAGGTGAATGGTCAGAGGACAGCCAGCCCCAGAGCCCTGCGCTGACCACTTGGGCTGTTCTGTGCAGGTCTTCTCCCTCTGAGATGGACCCACCTTCTCCTCTAGCCTTCTCCCTCCCCAACTTTCTCCTATATCCTAATGACAGGCTTGCTAGAAAGATGAGAATTGTAAAGGGCTGAAGTGTGATGTCCATGTACAATGTTTGGCTGGCCCAGGATTGAGAACACAACAAGAACTTAATCTCTGTCTAGTCTCAGCATGCTTGTGGCATGCAAGGTGCAGCAAGTGCTAAAGATACAGATGGTATGGAGAGAGGGTGAGGGAAGAGAGGAGACATAGAGGATGAGAGAGAATACAAGGAAAGAAGGAGGGAAGGAAGGAGAGAAGGAAGGAAGGAAGGAAGGAAAGAAGGAAAGAAGGGAGGGAGGGAGGGAGGGAGGAAGGGAGAGAGGGAGGGAGGGAGGAAAGGACAAAGGGAGGAAGTCTGTGATCCAAAGGAGAATCTACCAGGTGCAAAAAGCTGAGCTGTAATTCTCCTTGAGTTGTGTCATTATTAGCCTTCCCCATGATTTTATGAAGGAAACATCCTGTCTGCATTCTGCGTGGTGAATGCCGAGGCTCTTGTGGCTGCTGGGCAGCCTGGCCAGGTCTATCTTCTCTGCAGCCTCTGGAGAAGCAGAACCTGCAGTCAGATACACTCTTCCATATGCCCTGCACACACAGGCGTCCTTAGAGGCCTCTGAGTCTTACTTGTTTTCTGGGCCTGCCCTGTTTCTTAGAATCCCAAAGGATAAAGCCTCTTAACCAGACAGTGATTGCTAGATGCCCAGTCAGATACTGACCTGCTGGCCTTTCTCTGTCCAGTGCCAGGTGACGGTGGTGACTGAGCCTCCGCCTGTGCCCCCACAGCCGCCCACCCCTGGCAGCGAACAAATTGGATTCTTAAAGACCATCAACTGCTCCTGCCCAGCCGGAGAAAAGGTACCAGCCATAGGGTGCCCTCAGTTCCCAGTCTGCAGCCCCAGAGTGGGGAAGGGTTGGTCTGCGGGACTGCCTGACAGGGAGGCGGGAGTTTCCCATCATGCCCCTGGTCTGCCTGGGCAGGATCACCATAGGCTCACAGTGAGCTTAGGTCCAGAGCATCTTTAGTGTTCCCTAGACCTTCCAATTCTTGAATCTTTGTGCACTCTGGAGAGGAGGTTCTCTGGCTTGGCTCTCCTTAACATTTTCCTGAGGTTAATAATGTATTCCTAAGGTTGTTCTGCTTCTACTTGTATCATTCCCCACTCTCATATGTCTAAGTCACACTAGACTTGGAGTACGAGTAGAGACTCAGAACAGAACAAAGGTGAAGGTCTAAATATGCACTATAGAAACACTCTTAACCCTTTCTCCCCCCAATTTTTTCCTTCGTTCCTTCCTTTCTTCTTCCTTCCTCCCCCTCCATCCCCCGTCTCTCATCTCACTACATTGACCTCTAATCTATCGTCCTTCTATTTCAGCCTCCAGAGTGTTGGATTCAGTTTCCTTCAATCATAGTCCATAATCTGGATACCCACACATACACTTGAAATTTTATGTTTGTTTCTCATTTAAAAGTTACATTTCTGTGAATAGTACCACCATGGTCTGCTGGACAGATGAAAGATCTCATCTCAGCCTGTGCCTGAGGCTGCTGTTAGCCTTTTCTGTAGACCAGTGTTCATTGATAGGAAAAACATGCTCACTACTTGAGCATGAGGAACATAACCATATATCCCAGGCTCAGGGAAGGAGAACGGGGGAGGGTGCAGTCGTGGAGGGACTGGTGAGAATGTGGAAAGGCGTCACATTGATCATGATACATTGTATTCATAAACTGCTTTGTTAAAGATATACTTTTTGAAAAGTACAAGGGGTAGAAACATGCTTTGGGAAGTCCCTCTGGACTGATAACCCAAGAGCCCTCAACCCATGGTTTCTATCTCAGCTCAGGAGGGGCAGACAGTGGGGGACATGCCACATACAGTGGGAGACATACCTCAGACAGTGGGAGACATGCCTCAGACAGTGGGAGACATGCCACAGATAGTGGCCCTGCCTGGTCTAAGAACACACAGAACAGAAGGTAAAGAGATGTTTTCAGCAACTGGAGTGCCTTCTTTCCTGCCTTCTGCGCTTCTTTATTCTTCTCTGCCCACTATCCCCATGCTCTTCCCTCCACCCTCCTTTCTTTTTGTTGTACCCAGAGTGTCAGACCCACAGGATATCTTCAGGAGCTTTTAGTCCAATGGAGTTGTCCAATGATGACCCAGTTTGCTGTAGGCCCAACCCAAAGCCAGGCCAGATGTGCCTTGATCTTGGGCTATGGCAGTATGAAGGTCAATATGAAGGGTCCCCCAGCCCGATGTCGGGATGTAGGGAGCAGAGGAAGGATCTGTGTGTGCGTGTGTGCACGTGTGTGCACACACAGGACAGGCGGAGGGTGCTTTCTCTTCCAGACAGCGGCTGATGTTGGCCTCCATCCACAGACTGGCTTCCTCCTGCATGCCAAGGAAATCACAGCAGCAGCTGTCTAAACCCAAACCCTCTGAATGCTGTTTCCAGTTAGAACCCAGTGTGAAGGGCGATGCATAGGCGATTTTGATCTTCTACCATCCTGGGCACACAGACGGGGAGTGCAGCCAAAACTAGCTTTGCCCTGGCCAGGGCTTCTCCTCAGAGCCAGGCCCAGGCCTGGGGAGGAGTTGTGAAGGCTGCTGTGGTCACTGGCAGGAAACCTGGGGTCACAGGGCCTCCCCTCCCATCCAGTGCCCTGCCCTCCAGCTCATAGACACACCTGGGCTGTCGGCTGACCTCCTTTGAATGGCCTGGAGGCACTCTCTCGAGTCTTCTCGATTTACCCATGACCCACACTGGTCTCCCAGGTGCCTGTAGCCTCACCACATGCTTTTGCTCCCAATTCCAGGCCAGGTCAGAGCTCTCCGTTTCTCGGAGGGATTTTCTCAACTACGGCCCAATCGTATGTCTGAAACACCTTTCTTCTCCTTCTGTGCCTTTACCTGGCTGATGCCTGCTTTTCTGACATGCCCAAGGAATCTTGCTGAGCCCAGTGTTATCTGTGCACCCTTTCTTCCTTCCTTTCCCTTTCCCTCCTCCCACGCGCTCTTTTTTCCTTCCTTCCCTTATATTATTTCCCACCGTCCATTCTATACTTATTCCACACCTGCTCTTTCCCAGGCACCGTGAGACCTTTGCCTCAGGACACAAGCAGTGGCTCTACTACCTGGAAACTGTCTCCCTCTCATTGCTTCTGTCAGACCCTATGTTTCCGATGGCAGAGACTGGATCTTTACATGTCTATTTTCGTGACTACCACAGAGCTGAGCACAGAGAAGACTGTTATTAAGTTATGATTCAATCAATGGATAAATGGATCAGGGTGGGAAAAGCTGGGTGGGTGGGCCAGACAGATGGGGTGAAGGATAAAAGCATACATCCTCTGTTCCTGTTGACAGGACAAAGACCTGCTATTTAAGGTTGTCAATGTACACAGTCTAGGCACCACCACCCAATAAGCCACTGCTGTAGGCAGTCCATCATTCCTCATTTCTGATTATAGACATTAGGCTTCCTCCTGTGTATATCGTACTTGGCTGCACACAGAGGCTTTGTGGCAAGTAGGATTTGACCCTTCAGGTCTTATAGTATGCTATCTGGTTGAGACGTAGGAGCTCTGAATATGGCTCAACCCCAGGAGTGTACAGAAGAAAGGTGGCCGGTTCCCTCTACCTCTGAGAAAGAGCCACAGGGAGGAAACGGCTTCACAGCCTCTGGCAGGTGTTGGCTTCCTCTTCTACCTGTATGTCTATGAAAACACAAGGCCCAGTAAGTCAGAGCCCTTCACTAGGAGGCCAAGCTCTGGCAGCAAGCAGACGTTTTCCAGTAGTTTAAATCTTCCATTCAGTTTGTGAGGCATTATCGTTATTTTACACAGTCAACAGATGTTAGGTCCCTGTTTATATCTTTGTGATCAGCCCTTACGCTGGGCATGAGCAGTTGCAAGGCCTTCTGTTGGACCCCAGGAAAGGTCAAATTCACACAGGAGTATCTTCAATTTGCTTGTCCAATGGAAGCTGCAATGCATTTAAGAATATACAATCTAACTGGGCACCAGTGGCTCATGCCTGTAATCCTAGCTACTCAGAAGGCTGAGATCTGAGGATTGTGGTTCAAAGCCAACCCAGGCAGGAAAGTCCGTGAGACACTTATCTCCAGTTAACCACCAGAAAACTGGAAGTGGCGTTATGGCTCAAGTGGTAGAGCACTTTCCTTGTGCTGAAGGGCTCAGGGACAGTGCCCAGGCCCAGAGTTCAAGCCCCATGACCAACAATAAATAAATAAATAAATAAATAAATGAATAAGTGTATATATATATATATATGTATATATATATATGTATGTATATATATATATATGTATGTATATATATATATATATATATATATGTATATATTTCCAGCCATTTGGGAAGGAGAGATAAGGGTCAGGGTTTGACAGTAGCCTGGACAAAAAAGACTCTATCTTGAAGAACAAGCTGCAAGTGGTAAAATACGTTTAATAACCTCAGGTCTGTAGGAGGCAAAAGTCAGATTGTGGTTTGAATCTGGCTTGGAGACATATTGTGAGACCTGTGTAAAAATTAACTAAAAAGAAAAATAACTTAGAGGGTTTGTCTACCAAGCACGGGGCACTTGTTCAAATCTACCCTCTCTCCTGCCCTGGCACCCACATACAGTCCTGAAGTAGCTAAATGTGACCAGAGGGTAGACTGTTGTTCACTTTTTATTAATGGCCTGACATTTACACATAAAAATCATATGAATCATACTGCATTTGTTTTCAGGATGCAGTATATATATAGCTACAACTTACAAATCATGGTTTTCAATCTAGTAACAAGATCTTTCACACATGTTTTGAATGGAATGGGTTTTGCATTTAGAAATTGCTTGTGGACATGCGATGCTTCGCCTTTCAGTGAATAATAAACACATGAACAGTTGCAGGCAATGTAATTTTCTTTTTAATTGAAGTGATGGCATATCCAGATAAAATATAGCCTTGGGAAGCATTCCTTTATTTATAATTGGCTACTGAAAAAGAATAATTGTCGAGTTTATGCTATAATCGTACATTCCACATGATGGAATGAATGAATCAAGTTAATGAACATATCCATTACCTTCAATACCTATCATATTCCTTATATCTAATTAAAACGGTACCCATTGGCCAATGTCTCCTCCCTTCCCTGCACCTGGCAGCCACTGGTAACTACCATTGTTCTGTCTGCTTCTGAGTATTTGAGTCTTTCAGCTTCCAAGTAGAAGTGAGAACATTACTATTTGTCTTTCTGTGCCTACATGGAGGCCATGTTCAAACTCCTCACATATAAGTTTTCAGTTCAAGGACAAGCTTATACTTTAGACTTAACATCCATATATGAAAACACACACAGGGCCATGTACATATATATATAAAGTATTTCAATTAACCCCTTTGAACAATTACCTGACATATTAACAAAATGAATACCAGAAAGCCGAAACATCTTTTGTCTGAAGGGGACTAAGGGGGAGGAGCAGATGAGGGGGAGAGGAAGGGTGGGCAAATAACAGTCGTCATACTTAATGTACAGGTGTGAAAAAGGAGCCAGGAGCCCTGAGGGGTGGGTGGGGTTGGGACAGGTGTGGGAGAATGCTGAAAGGAGTGACATTGACCAAGATGCATTGAAACTCCTTTATACGATTGCTTAAACATAAAAAAAGATATATATATTAACCAGAAAGAACAGGCTTTTGACCATGTTCTGATGGTTCATGCCTGTCACCCTAGCTACTCAGGAGGCTGAGATCCAGAGGCTTTCAGATTTCCATCTCCAGAATAACCAGCAGAAAGCTGGCCTGGAAGTATGGCTCAGATGCTCAGTGCTAACTGAGAAAGCTAGCTTACTGACCATGAGGACTTGAGTTCAACCTCTCCCCCCGAAACTAAATGGGCTTTGGCTCTAGTCAGCCAGTTCCCTGTCTAACTTGACTGGCCAGCACTTGCTTTTCGAGACTGGCTTTAAACACGTGAAGTGAATAACCAGCTCCTGTTTGCAGATGGAGACCCTCAAAACAGAACTTCACTTGTTTCCTTTTGTTTTTCTTCCCACAGGGTGAAAAGGGCTTTGTTGGTCCTGTGGGGCTCCCTGGTCCGAAGGTCAGTGCTGGCATGACTCAGATTTCTTTCAGAGCCTCAGGGTGCTCACTTGCTTTCTGTGGAAGGACAGTGGTACAAGAGACCACTCCTCTCTTCAGTGTTTTGCTTGGGAGCTTGTGTAGATGTGGATAAGAATACACAGTATAAAGTTTGAACATGTGTGTGTGTTGAAATGCTGAGGACATTTCTTGGCCTCAAAATTGCTACAAGAAAGGCAGAGGCCTGCCAGAGCCCAGGCTCTGAGCTTGGGTGTGCCAGCAGGCTCACCCTCCATGGTCAGACAGTTCTACACCCACCCTTGCAAGCTGACGTGATCTTGAAACTTGGAAGGGTTGATCTGTTAGGTATTCTTATACATAAAACTTCTGTCCTCGGTAATTGCGCAAAGTGAGGTTCTACCCGCTAGGGCCCCCCATCCTAAGTCATGAACATCCTTCCCTCCCCTCTTAGGTCCCCCAAGGGTCAAGATATTCCCCCATCAAGCTCAGAAAAATGAAACTGGGAGTGAAAACTGTGTATCATCCCCAAGTAGAAGAATTCTGCTATTGCATGACCAACCATCCCCTGGTCTGGTGTTTTGAAGAGAGGCTGAGTGTAGCCATGGAGATACCTAGAAGTGCCCAGACCTCTCTTTTTTGGGGGGAGGGGTCCGGTCGTGGGGCCTGAACTCTGGGCCTGGGCGCTGTCCCTCAGCTCTTCAGCTCAAGGCTAGCGCTCTACCACTTGAGCCACAGCGCCACTTCCAGCTTTTTTCTTTTTGCTTATGTGGTGCTTATGTGGTGCTGAGGAATCGAACCCAGGGCCTCATGCAGGCAAGGCAAGCGCTCTACCACTGAGCCACCTTCCAGCCCCCCAGAACCTCTCATTTCCAGGCTTCCATCTCCTTCCTTCTTTACACAGACTTGCCCAGCTCACCTCTCCCTCTCCTCACCTCTGCCTCCTGCCTTTCTTAGTTTTGATTTCACCCAACGTAATATTACGTTGTAGCAGCAGAGGCCCAGGCATGAGGTTCATACTAGAATTGGATGATATCCTCCGTTCCCTGAGTCTGTACTTCTCCACTTCCGGGTGTAGAACAATGACTTCATCATATAGTTGGCAAAGACCACATCTGCTACTTCTAGAGAATATGGCAAAGGGTGGCTGTGAGCAGCCTGAGAGCCAGCAACTCTGTCAGATGACCTAACCCCATGCTTGTCTCTGCTTCCAACCTCTCAGGGAGACACGGGAGCCACTGGGCTGACAGGAATGCCTGGACCCAAGGGAGAGAAAGGGGACATGGTGAGTATAGTGCTGTTGCTGTCTGTGGATGGAATATGTGGCTGGCGTGGGGTGACGCAGAGCTCCTTCCCGGACCCCGCATCTTGACATGTCAATCACCAGGTGTGGTCCATAGTACAAGGGACTGAGCCCACCCCCCTGGGGATTGAAGCCCCTCTCCTCTCCACAGGCAGGGGATATCTGGACATGCCCTAGTGGCCCTCTAGCCTGTCCTTCCCTCTCCCCTTCCCCAGCCCCAGAATTCTGTGCTTCCAAATGAGCCACATCGTGATTCCTGACATTGGGAATTGCAGGGAGGGGATATTCTCTCTGTATTCTTTACTGCCATGTTCTTCCCTCTACAAGGGCATTCTTTCCACCTGTCCTGGTTTCCCTTCACTCCTTCTGGCTGATGGTGGACAAGGAAAGAATCACAGAGATGAATAGTTCATGGCTCCTGGAAGAGACTCCAGAGCCACACAGCCACAGAGTGTCTCCACTAAATGTTTTGCTCTTGGTCTCCTCATCTGTGCAGGGGCAGGGAGTGAAGGGAGAGTCACTGTGCTGGGAGAATGAAGTGAGCTGGCCCATGCACATAGGTTCAGAGGAAGGGAGAGCGGGAAAACTTTGTTCTAGAATCAAAGAACAAACATGACTATCCTTAGGAGCCCCGAGTCTGGGCTGTGGTCCATGGCGCTCTTGTCAGTGCTGCCTGCCCTGTGCTGATGGCAGTTCCATCCAGCAGGGGTGAGGAGGTGGCACTGGCTTCAGAGGGCCCACATTCAAATCTGGTTCCACCACCTACTTGTTCCATGAACTGAAGATGCTTCCAGAACTTTCTGAGCCTCATTTTCCATGCTTTCTAATAAGAGCTATACAGGTCTTCTTCTGGACCCACTCCCAATAGAAGATCATCCCTGGAAATGCCAGCATGCTTCACCTATGTCCTTGGAGTCAGGTGCTTCACAGGCAGCTGCAGTCAGGAGATGGGGTCTCCCCTCACCACCCCAACTCTCAAGGCAGAGCTTCTGCCTCAGGTGGAACAAGACAGGGGTGTTGGGATCCGGAGGGAGCGGGCCCACATTGGAACATTGACGTGGAGACCACCACGGAGGCCACGGTTCCTACCCAGTGAGGCACCCCTAAGAGAAGAGTCTGTGGCTCTGGTTCCCAGCTCTACAGCAAGAACTCAGAGACTTAGTCCTTAAAAACAGAGAACTATCTGGGAGCTGGGAGCTCATGCCTATATTCCTAGTTACTCAGGAGGCTAAGAAATGAAAGATCAGGGTTCAGAGCCCACCCAGGCAGAAAAGTTCATGAGAATCTACCTACAAAATAACCAGCAAAAAAAGGGCAGGGCTAGAGGTAGGGTTGAAGAGGTAGAGCACCAGAGATGAATGGGTACAAGATCCTGAGTTCAAACCCCAGTACTTAACGACAGCAACAAAAGAACAGAAAACTCTGAATCTTTTCCTGAAAGGCACTGAATCTGAAAGAGAGAATTTGAGGAGGTACAAGTGTAAAAGGCTCTTTAAGAAGGGGAATTGGAGGATCCGTGACCCCAAGAAGAGCAGTGGTTCTCTGAGACCACTGGACTGTGCCACAGCCTGGCTAGTATACCAGATTGACCCAGAAGAGCCCAAACTGGAACACCAGAGGCATGCCTCGGTGGTAGCCACAGCAACCAGGAAAAGGGTAATTGAGTTGGACCCTGTCGCAGAAAAAGTGCAGTGAATCATTCTTTAAAAACAAAGCAGTTATCTGGGAATTCAAAGCACTTAGGAGCTGGACTAATGTCAGTAGAGACTGTCAGAAAGACTCCCGTGAAGACCACCAGTGTCACAGGGTTACTGTCGAGGCCACAGGCCCAGAGGAGTGGCAGTAAAGATGTCACACTGGTCAAGGGAATAGAATTCATTTATACCTAACACCTAGCCAAGTCAATAAACCAACCAACAAACCAGAAAACAGTCAACCCAGCCCTAGAAGGGGAAGTGAATAATATCCATAGTTCCTAATGTCTCAACAAATGAATGTTGAAACATGTACAGAGACAGGAAAATATGACATAGGGAGAAAATAAGCAGGCAAACAAAGGTATCTGTGAGTGGGAAGACGTGTTGGGGTTAGTAATCAAAGCCTTCAAATAATCCACATAACTGTGTTCAAGGAACAAGGGAGCAGTTCTCAGAAAAGTCAAAGCAGGTATGAAGATAACATGCCATACCATATCCATCCATAGAAAGGTGGAACTTTGAAATGAATGGAAATTTTAGGGTTTAAAATTAAATAACTGAAATGAAAAAAAAAATCTCTAGAGAGGCTGGGCAGGAGATGTGGGCAGGCATGTGAGCATGAACTATCCCAATGACAGTTTAGTAGAGCTTACGAGATCTGAAGAGCACAGAAGAAAAAAGAACAGAGACAAGTGAACAGTGTTACAAAATGTTGGTCAAATGTGAACCAGTATGCACATCTGGTGAATTCAAAAAGGAGAGAGGGGAGAGCCAGAAGTAATAGGGCTGAAATCACACACTGAAAAGAAGTAATCTGTGCATTCAAGATATTCAATGAGCTTTAATTAAGATTTACACGAAAAGCTACACACATAAACATCATAAATGTGCTGAAAGACAAGTCGAATAAATAGCTTCCAAGGAGAAGTAAAGATTCATTACATACAAGGAAACTCAGTACAATAAACAACTGGCCACTCAGAAGAATTAATTGAGGCTAAAGTGCTGTGGAATAGGCTCAAACTAATCATGATAACAACATGGCAATTCAGCTGTCCGTGGCTCACACCTGTAACCCTAGCTAATCAAAGGCTGAGATCTGAGGATTGTGGTTCAAAGTCTGTGAGGCTTATGTCCAGTTAACCACCTAAAAGCTGGAAGTGCAACAGTGGCTCACGTGATATTCAGCTAGTCTTGAACTAAACAAGGACAGCACCTAGGCCCTGAGTTCAATCCCTATGCTGGCGCACGCGCGCACACGCGCACACACACACACACACACACACACACACACTGTTGGGTGTTTAACAAATCTGCATGTAGTAGAATACAAAAGGGAGAGGTGAGGATACAGTAATAAGGAACATGGTTGTGTGTCTCATTGTTTTATGTTTCTAGAGTAAGTCTTGGTGAATTTAGATTTATATGATAAGCCATAGAGAATCTTCTAAGAAAATGAGTCTAGCTATCTAAAAAAAATAACATTAAGGAATGTAAAACATTACTCTAGAAAGTACAGAGTGTGATGCGTTGCTGCTTAGAGCAGTAAACAGAAGGTCTAACACAGGCTTCGTCTGTCACTCTGGGAGACGATGCAGCTTCTGGGAGGAAAAGGCCTGGCAGTTCTCAGAAGTTTAAACGTGGAGTTAGCACAGGCATCGCCGCTCAGTCTCACTCACAGATATCCACTGAAAAGAAATACAAGCATGTACTCATGGAAAATCTACACACAGATGTTCACAGCAGCATTATTTGCAGCAGCGTAAAATAGATCCCACCTGAAGGCCATCACAGGAAGGATGGGTAAGCGATAAATAAAATGTGTGTTAATCTTCAAAAATAGGAAATTCAGACACGTACAGCAGCCTATGCGTGGACCTAACAAAGAGGCGGCTAAGTGAGGAGTCGACACGTTACTCCCTTCCCTTTGCATCATGGCGAGGTTAGGCAAGTCTTTCTAGGACAGAAATAGATTGGGAGCTGTCCAGTTCTGGGAATGGGGAGAAGAGGGGAGCACATGTATTGGTATTGGTTCCTTCTGAGGTGAGTGAGATGTTCTAAAGTCAATTGTGGCATAGTTCTCCATATATACTAAAAGCTATTGACCTGGTATACGAATTATATCCTAATAAAGCTGTTAAAGGAAGCATAGTACCAATAGCGTTAAATTATTAGAAAGCAATCCAATGAGATGACACTCATGAGAATCTTTACTCAATAAACGGTTATATCCCTTTCAGAGGCTCCAGGCAGGACTAATGAGAAAGAGCCCAGTTGTTTCTGTCCTGGAGTGATGCTGTGTCCTGATGATGCTCTCTAGTAAACCTTTGCCTTCTGCTTTGCCTTTTCTAGGGCAGAGGACCCTTTATACAAGGAGAAAAGGGAGAAAAGGTAAGCACCTTCCCTTCACGCACTCCCCCAAGGGACAGGATGGGGGCTGGTGTCTGTGGGAGGCGCATGGCACCTTTGTACTGTCTGGAAAGACAGTACTAGTGGGGAGAGGCGCCCCTTTGCTGGGCTGTGGGCCCGGCCTCTGTGTGTGCTTGAAGCTTATATAGAGACTGCAGGAAGAAAAGATGGAGACAGGAAGTGGTGGCTGGGAGAGGTGAGACCCATGTGACTGGGAGGTTAATGAGCTAAACTGTTGAGGGCAGTGGGCAACAGTGACATGCAGGAGTTGGAGGCTTTGGGTGGGATCTGAGCGGCCAGGCACGTGCAGGCTGTGGAGGTGAGCATGCTTCCGACAAAGGTGGTCAGTGATGATCAGGACACAAGGGGCCTGGTGGCACTGAGGGGTTAGAGAATAGGGCTAGAGAAGTGGTTTGGAGGACTGTCATGTAGAAATCAAATATCAAAACATACTGATAGGGGCCCTGGAAGATTCTGAGAGTATCCAAACGTGCCAAAGATGTTCAGAGGTCAGGTTCCAGATAGAACTGAGAGGCGGCAGGCCAGAGAAATGTGGGAAAGAGTGAGGGTACTTAAAGGGGAGATGGGGAGGAAGGTGATCGAAGGGAGCTGGTGAGGGCAGCAGACCCGAGTGGGCAGAGAACTAGAGGAGAACTTGTGGGAGGTCTAAAACGTCTGCCCACCCTGTTCCCTGGCAGTGTGATGGGCACAGCACAGCAATTCTGAGGGAAAGCAGGGCTTCTGAAGAGGAAATCCTTGAAGTGTTAGCCCGTGAGGAGACAAAGACAGTAAAGAGCCGCCAAACATGCCATTTCCCACTTGTATCAGCTATTTGAAAATTAAATAGTGGGGTGCGGGTGGTTCATGCCCATAATCCTAGCTACTCAGGAGACTGAGAGCTAAGGAGCCTGGAGCTGGTGATTCACAACTGTAATCCTAGCTAATTCAGGAAACTGAGATCTAAGGATCTTGGTTCAAAGCCAGCCCAGACACGAAAGTCTGTGGAACACTTATTTTCACACCACCAGCAAAAATCCAGAAGTTGAAATATAACTCAAGTGGTAAAGCACCAACCTTCAGTGGAAAAGCTAGGAGACAGTATCAAGACCTTCAGTTCAAACCTCAGTGCTGGCACGTGTGTGCATGCACGCACACGCATGCACACACGTGTTTTCTAGAGGGGCAGCCTTTACGACAGTGTGTGTGCACTTTAGTACTGACCCAGAGCTGCTGGCCCCTGGCTGGTGTTGCATCCGCCTGGCATTGGGCTGATTGGATAGCCCAGGAATCACACTACAAAATGGCAGGAGAAGCAGCAACATGTAGACAGCTCATTGTCACCCATGGGAACTTCCCCTACGTTTGCTTCAAGGAGATGCTTGCAGATTCGCAGGAGCACCTACCCACAAGGTCTTTCTCTGTGAGACCAGAAGTTTTGTGTGAATAATTCATAAGTACAACCAGACACAGATAATGCTGTGCAGAGGACAAAGGGAGGAAAGGTTGTACAGCTAATCATGTGACAGCAGCCCAAGGTATAATATAGAAGAATAATTGAGGTCCTGGGAAAAAAGAACAGATAGTTCTCTGGCACATTTCAGTGACATTGCAAAATGAATATGTTTTCAACCCTGTGGTCATCTGTGAGTAACAAAGCTATGAGTGTATTTCCCCCTCACACTTCATTTGTTCCACAATAACTTGGTCCTACTCCCCACCAAAAGCACAGACACTTGTGCACACAGTCTTCTCTAAGAATTTAAGGTGGTCTGAGAGGCTGCATGGCATCTAACATTATGGAGTTACAAAGCTGAGATGCGCTCATGGCTTCGTGCCATTGCTGTGTTCCAGTTTTTCTTTCTTCCTTTTTTTGGCGGGGTGGGGGGTTGGTCAGCCATGGGGCCTGAACTCTGGGCCTGGGCGCTGTCCCTCAGCTCTTCAGCTCAAGGCTAGCGCTCTACCGCTTGAGCCACAGCGCCACTTCCAGCTTTTTCCAGCTTATGTGGTGCTAAGGAATCAAACCCAGGGCCTCAGGCAAGGCAAGCGCTCTACTACTGAGCCACCTTCCCAGCCCTGTGTTCCAGTTTTTAATTCCTTTTTCTTTCCTTTTTTTTCCCCCCTTGTGCTGGTTCTGGGTGCTTTCCCTAAGCTTTTGCTCAAGACTACTGTTTTATCACTGGACCAACAGCTCCACTTTCAGTATTTTGGTGACTAATTAGATATATAGACTTTTCTTGCCTGGACTGGCTTTGAACTATAATCCTTAGATCTGAGCTCCTTGAGTATCTAGGATTACAGATGTGAGGCATGGGTATCTGGCTTTGCATTCCTTTAAAAATTTGTAATTGTTAGTACGAAGGTGATCTACAGAGGGGTTACAGTTACGTAAGTCAAGTATATTTCTTTCCTCACTCTCAGTTTTTCCCTCTTGTCCCCTGCATTCCTTTTTATGAGCGTTGGCCTTCTGCTACCTAAATATGAGGCTCATAACCTCTACCTTTAATGATTTTCTGTGTGGTTTAGAACATAGCATGTGGAACCACAATACTCAAATTCAGCCGCTGCTTACTTTCTTAAAATACTTATTGAGACTATAATGAAGATTATTTACCATGAGGGCTAGCCTCTCAACAGATACCAAGTGAACAATACAGTCTTGTTGCTTTCCTTCTGGGCACTTCCTTTCTACAGCAGTGATCATAAAAAGATCCTAGAAGCCATTTGGTGCTCCTCTGTGTACTGGACAATGTGATTTAAACACATGTACCCCTGTCAATCCATAAGTTCAAGCCCCACCCTACAAAGTGCTAGTGTTAGAAGGTGGGGTATGGGCTGGGAAGGTGGCTCAGTGTAGAGCGCTTGTCTTGTATGCATGAGGCCCTGGGTTTGATTCCTCAGCACCACACAAGCAGAAAAAGCTGGAAGTGGCACTGTGGCTCAAGTGGTAGAGCACTAGCCTTGAGCTGAAGAGCTGAGAGACGTTGCCCCAGGCCCAGAGTTCAGGCCCCACAACCGACAAAAAAAAGGTGGGGTGTTTGGGAGGTTATGGGTAGGTGCTGAGGAAGGAGACCTTGTAAGAAGTATCAGGGTCCTTGTAGAAGAGGCCCAACAGAGGCTCTCGCCCCTTCCACCCTGAGAAGCTATGGTGAGGAGTCCCCTCTATGAACCAGGAACTGGTGCTCACCACAACAGAATGGACCTATGCCTTGATTTTGACCTTGGGACTTCCAGACTCCAGAACTGAGAGAAATACCTTTCCATTATTTATAAGCCCTGGACTTTAAGGTGTTGTATAACCACCCAATTGGACTAAAGCAAAGAGGTCTCTTGCATAAGAGAAGACACAGCAGAGCAAGGAACAGGTTATTACTTTTTCATTCGTTGAGTCTCTTGGAGAACAACAGACAGGGATGTGGGCTATAGCAGTCATGGTGCATTCATTGGCCACAGCTGACAGTTTTGAATGTTACAGTGTCTCTGTCTGAAAAGTGATGGAAAAACACACATCATCAGCCCTTTACCGGCCTTTTGATACATTCCACATGATTCAGCTCAGGGGCATTGGCTCCTTAAGCCTCTGGGCAGAGGCTGGCTCTGAGCAGGAGCGCCGAGCTGGGGCATGGCTGGACAGGGGCTGGGTGTATCTGATACAAGATACAAGACACCTTAGGGCTGACATCTCCACTCCTGGTCATTGTACCGGTCCTTCCTTGCCTCTCCTGCAAAAAAAAAAATAATCTAGGGATTCTTTGTATTCAAAAACCATGTTCCGCACACAATCTAATTATTGTACATAAAGACTGCATTGTACAACCTCTGGGCCATAAAATATATATTATACATTTGTGTTTCTATGTGTGAAACCGTTTACCTCTAGCTGTGGATTTTTAAAAAATTCACAGCTGGCTTAATCCATATTCCCATCTCCTTGTCTTGGCCTGTGCATGTAATTTGCACAATTCATGGTTGAATGCCTTCTAGTTTTACAATAATTAAAGGATTTAGAGGAAATTACTTTAGCTGCTTACGTTCCTTGGAGAGCCTAGTAAACTGGAGGCAAAACAGAATACCTGTCCGTGGTGCTGAAGGGCGCTTGGAGAAGTTTGTTCAAGGATCTTACAGACAAACAGGAATCTCCCAGCTTTTTCCTCCAGCCCCTTTGAACACTTGGAGGCTAGCAAGTGTAACAGACCAGTCATAAGACCAAAGGCTTCCTAGAAGAAGGGAGAACATTTTTGGGGAAGCGTTCATGCTGGGTGACCTGAGAGGTGACCCGACACAAAGTGGGCCGGTTCTAGATACACATTGGCTGGTCCAGACCTCAGCTCAGCCCCTTAGCTGTGGTACAACAGAGCTATAACTGAACCCTGGCTTCTCTGGTCTGTGACTTGGCAAATCTAATAGTATTCACATCAGAGTGTTGCTACAAGGATTAAATGAGCTAAGGAAAATATATGACTTATATTTGTAAAAGGCACTCATAAACCTGAAGTATAATTACCATTACACCATGTTCCGTTTTAATATGCCAAATGGCATCTTCGGCGCCCTCAGAATTGATGAGGTCTTTCCCCAGGGCCAGCAGCAGCTGCACACATCACAGCTCTTCTGCCCCGCCCCGAGGAGGACCCTTCCCACCCCCAAGACCTTAGGATGTCCAGGGCCTGCTCTTAGAAAAGATGTTCCAGGTGAGAAGGTGTAGAGGTTCATTTATTTCCTCAATTCATGTAAAGTAACTCCCAGGGCACCTGCGAATAATAGTACTGAATAGTTGCAGGCTCTTGCTGCCTGCTGAGATTCTTGCACATGCTCTTTAGCTTTTGAGGGAGCCATCCCGGGCTCCATTTTGTAGCAACTGGGTCCAGGAACTGGCAGTTTTGCCTTTCTACCTGGTAAAGTCAGGATTTGAGCTCCTATTTTCTGACAACCAGCATTTATTTGGAGTTCTTAAACATGAGCCAACACCCAATGACCCAGGGGATTTATTAAGTCAGATTCTCAGATTCCTTTCCCGAAGTGTCCGGCTCAGCAGACTTGCCACAGGCTAGAGATTTCGCACGCAGGGCTGCTGCTGGTCCATGGACCATCCAGAAATGTTCCATAAACTCCATTCAGTGAACCTGCTGTGCCTGCTATCAAACTGAGGTGGCTTCTCTGGCAAGGAAGCAATCTCCTGATCAATACTTAGAAACAAGCCTTGAGAGTTAACTGGGAGAGAAAGGAGTGTGTGCCCTTGAGGATCGCTGCATCTTGACCAGTGAAATAAGGAGCAATATGAGCTCTGGGCTCTGACAGGGGGGTGTGGCAGGCAGGAGGTGGGAAGAGGGAAGCCAAGGGTGGCAGGGAGATCAGAGCTGGGACTCTGCCTCAATTTGGACTTGACCAAGTTTGAATCCATCCTAACAGCCCACAGGAAGTTGGAAAGCCCTGGTTTTCTTCTCCAGTGGACTCCATGACCACTGTCTGTAATCATCATTTGCCCCAACAACCTGAGTGTCAATCCCTTTTATAATGGAACTATGGGAAGTTAGGAGGTTTTCTCAACTGGGTAGTACTTTCGGCTAGTTTCAAGTGTCTCTGTGTTATACACATTTCCCTGGACTTAGTAGCTTGGCCAATCCCCTTTGGCCAGAGGCGATATTCTTTCTTTATCCCCTCAGCAGAGGGATGAAGCTGATACTTGCACATTACTGCTGTGATAACAAAAGTCCTGAGGCTGGGTAATTGACAGACAACAGGAATGTGTTGCTTAGAGTTCGGGAGACTTGTAAGTCTGCCGTGGAAGTGCCAAGCGATTTGGTATCTGGCGAGGGAGTTCTGCTTCATCGATGGTACGACATGGTTGTCCCCATATGTCAGAAGGGGCATTGCCTCATTTATACGTGCACTGACTCCCTTTCATCCTATTTGGTGACACTGGAATTTGAAACCAGAGCCTTATACTGTAGGCAGGTGCTTTATTGTCTTGCCACAACTTCAGCCATGTTTTGCAATGGTTCTTTTTGAGATCGAGTCTCACCTCCTGCCCAGGAATGTGTAAACTGTGATCCACCTATTTCTACTTCCTACCAAAGCTTTAGTCAGGGAAGGATCTTGCAAATTTCTTTGTACAGGCTTACCCCAGATTGCAATCCTCCCTTACTTCAGCCTCCCAAGTGATTGGTATTATAGATATGAGCCACTGGCACTGAACAGAGACCTCAGTTCTTAACATTGTTGCACAAGGGATTAGGTTTTAATGGGAGAATCATGAGAGGGTGCACATTCACACCACAGTAGAGAGTTGGATTTGTGCACATCAGACCTTCCTCTCTTTGCCTTCTTTTACACTTGTTAAAGAGTTTTTGAAATCTGAAGCTGGTGGCTCATACCTGTAATCTTAGGTACTCAGGAGGCTGAGATCTGAGGATTATGGTTTGAAGCCAGCCAGGGCAGGAATGTCTATGTGACTCTTAGCTCCAATAAACTACTTAGAAAAAGCTGGAAGTGGCACTGTGTCTCAAGTGGTAGAATGCTAGCCTTGAAGACCTAGAACACATTCATATCTAAAGAGGCCTCCATTCAGATCTTTAAGAACCAGTACTATGGGAGCCCACATGTCCAAGTGGGTGTGGCTGGATCTATATGTCAGTTTCCTAAAAGCCAGGCTCCTGAATTGTGCCCAGATCCTGGAGATTGATGCTATCTGCAGGGAGATGAAGAAGTCTGAGTATTCTGCTAGCCTGACCAAAGTCATAAGAAGAGAATTTGAATCTAACTTGCTGACTTCTCTATACCATTGTCTGTCTACCATACCTGCTATTCAATTTGGTTCTGGAGCTTTGCATTCCACGAATAACTCTTGAGCAAAAGACTCATCCGTGGCCTTTCCTTACAAGCCCATAGGGCCATAGAAAGCATTGAAATCCCCACAGCATCCATGGGGCCCTGCAGCAAGGCAGGTGCTGGTCACGTGATCTTGATTCTTCACTCCCCAGAGTTCCTGCCCCAAAATTCACGTAGCCACTGGACACTATGAACCAGCCGGGCCAGAGAGGTCACTGTTGTGTGGAAAGCCCAGGGTTCTGGAACCCTGCAGGGGTTCTCTCTGGCATTGTCTCAGGCTTCTCCCCATGCTCCCTTTATTAGGCAGGCCGTGAGCCACGGTGCCCTGCTGTCCCCACATTTCTACGGGAGGCTCGGGCCCACCAGGACCTCCCTTCCCTGTGCACAGCTGCAGGATTTCCAAACCTGCCGGAGCCAGAAGACACACTGGCCCGAAGGACCCCCTCTTTTAAGTGGGTAGCCAACATGCTGGTCACTTTGCACTGAGCCCCCGGAGGCCTGGTTATGGGGGAGTGCCATTTAGAACATCCTCCCAGAGGAGGTCCATGAGCCTTTGTGATCCTTGCTTGAATCGAGGGTCACAGGGACGTGGAGTTCGTGAGTTTGGTGTCTTGCCAACCGGAGCCACCCCTGTTGGTTTTAGTCCATGTTGAAGGGGTGGTGTGTGGAACATGGGCCACTAACCAGGCCCTCAGCAGAGTTTACAAGCAGTCGCTTTTGTATGTAAGACTTCAAGAACTCTCGTGGCCAAGGAGCCTGACCCTCTGTGCCCAGCGTCTCCGCCCAGCACTGTCTCCACTATCACAGTGTCTTGAGCACCTACCCCAGCATCAGCCTCTTCTCTAACCAGTGACTGTTCTCTTTGTCTCCTAGGGTTCCCGGGGACTGCCTGGGCCCCCGGGGAGAGACGGCAGTAAAGGAGTGAGAGTAAGTTCTGTTCATAGCCCAACGCAGCACGGGGCCGGCATCGAGAGGTACAGCCCAGGGTCCTCCAGGGCGGGGTTATGGCTGTCATCAGGCCTGGGCTGGGGCTCATTTGTACCAGGCATGCTGAGGACATTCTGTTGGCCTCATGGTTCCAACCATACCAGCAGCAGGTGCCGCCCCGTGCCCTGTGTCTGTGTCCTGGAACCAGTCTTTTCCACCTGTGGATAAGCAGCTCCGAGTGAGAGTCTTGTTATTTCCAATGCCTCTGCTGGAGCCAAGCCTTAACAAGGGGAGGATTTGGCAAGGGCCCCAGTCCGTAGCTAGAGGAGTTTCAGACACACACACCACCACCACTCCCCGCCCCCCAGCCTGCTTTCCTCTGGTCCCAGACTCCCACCTGCCCCTGGGCTACATATGGCATGCTCCAGGATCCCCAAGCAAGTGTCTTTTCTGGGGGAAAAGAGATATCGTCCACCCATGGAAATGGGCCTGGCGTCTGCACCCCTCTACCCCTTCTCCTGTCACACAGAGCAGAGATCAGCTGCATGAGCCACCCACAACTGGGTCAGGATTGAAGAGGAGGCTCTCCATGCAGGCCCGAACCCCCACCGACTTCCCCTGCTGTGCTGGCAGAGGGCAGCCGGCACGGAAGCTCCCCGATTTCTAGACTTAGTTTTCCAAATGCAGCTTTGTTGACCTCCAGTGTGGGGAAATTGTAGTCGACGGCCCATGACTGTGTGCTTGCTTCTGTGTGCAGGGGGAGTCGGGAGAGCTGGGCGAGCCGGGGCTGCCTGGAGAAGTGGGCATGCGGGTAAGTGTCACTCAAGCTGCGTTCTGCGCAGGCGTGCGGACAGGGAGCTGGGCGGGTTGGGGGGGGGGAGCAGGCGTGCGGACAGGGAGCTGGGGTGGGAAGCAGGTGCTGTGCGCGTGGACAGAGTGCTCGGGCTTCTGTGTCCTCCTCGTACAGCTATACCTCCCCTCCCCACCCCCTGCTATTGCTCCTACATTCTTATAAAAAAAAGACCCCCTGTTTGGTCCTTTATCCTCTCCATGTATCTTTCCCTGCTAGGGAACCAGTCTACCCATTGCCTTGACTTAAACCACTGTGTTCCTTGAGGTGGGCAGCCTCACAGTTTATACAGCCTTTTCCCTCTCCCTCTAGCCTTCAAGTTATTTTGTAATTCTGTTTTCTACTAAAATCAGTAGAGTGATAAAGCACGCAAGTGCAGGTGTGCGCGTGTTTATCCTTAAGTAAGGGTTTTTATTATTATTATTATTATTATAGTTAGCTTACAAAAGTTAGGATATCCTGGGCTGAGGAAACGCACATTTTTATTTTCAGTCCTGGGGCTTGAACTCAGGTCCTGGGTGCTATCCCTGAGCTTTTGTGCTCAAGGCAAGTACTCTGCCACTTGAGCCACAGTTCCACTTCTGGCTGTGTGTGTGTGTGTGTGTGTGTGTGTGTGTGTGTGTGGTTAATTCAAAGTTTCCTGCCAGAGCTGCCTTCGAACTGTGATCCTCAGATCTCAGCCTCCTCAGTAGCCAGGATGACAGGGGTGAGCCACGGGTGCCTGGGAACTCCATGTGGTGCCTTTTGATAGATGATGCTCATGGTGGTTGGCTAATGCTTTGGGAATTTATGGAACAGGTGGTGAGGGCTTCTCCAGATGTCGCCAACTCCTCCACACTCTGTTGGGACTGAAACCTGACAGGTGTAGGGATCAGAACTCAGCATTAGAAGCCATGAATGTGCCCAGGCCTGGCCATGGGGAAACCCAAGGGCATGGGACACTGGGGGTCAAAATGGGCTCAGGTCACACACGCAGTTGTTCCTTGCAGTCCAGCACTTCCGGGGGACATTGCAGCTTCCTGCCGGGCAGAAGCTGGCATAATGTCCCCTGGGCACGGAAGTGGAGGAGCAGGGCTGAGGACGGTCTACCTGGGCGGCCTTGTTCAGGTGCCGTGAGCACTGAGCAGTGTGGGATGCATGGATCTCCCCACTAAACATGGCGGGTGCTGAGCAGCTCTGTCTTCTCTGTCCATCCCTTGCAGGGGCCCCAAGGACCACCTGGGCTTCCGGGGCCTCCCGGGCACGTCGGAGCTCCGGTAAGTGAAGGCAGCTTGTCTGGGAAAGCTTCAGTCCCATTCTGCAGGAGTTAAGAGCCAGGCTTTCTAGTTAGATCCTCATGGTGCATCTGGAGATGAATGAAGTGTTGGTCTCTTTCTCTCAGACCAGAGAATGCTATGGCACCAAAGTATCTCCTCAGTTCACATTTGCTAGTTAATAAAACTGGGCAGAGCCCAGGAGTTTGTGACAACTGGCCTAAAGAAGCCATTTGTGTTGTGCACCAGTGGCTCACACCTGTAATCCTAGCTAGTCAGGAGGCTGAGATCTGAGGATCAAGGTTCAAAGCCAGCCCGGGCAGGAAAGTCCATGAGACTCTTATCTCCAGTTAACTATTAGAAAACCGGAAGTAGTGCTATAGCTCAAGTGGTAGAGCTCTAGCCTTGAGCTGAAGAGCTGATGGACAGTGCCCAAGCCCAGAGTTCAAGACCCAGGACTGATAATTAAAAAAAAAGAGCGGGGCTGGGAAGATGGCTCAGTGGTAGAGCACTTGCCTTGCATGCCTGAGGCCCTGGGTTCGATTCCTCAGCACCACATAAGCAAAATGAAAAAAGCCAGAAGTGACGCTGTGGCTCAAGTGGTAGAGCGCTAGCCTTGAGCTGAAGAGCTGAGGGACAGCGCCCAGGCCCCGAGTTCAGGCCCCACGACCGGACCCAAAAATAAATAAATAAATAAATAAAAAATAAGGAAAAAGAGCCATTTGCTTCTGTCCTCCGGAAGGGAGAAAGGATCCTCTGGCTTTCTAGCCCATAAGACCAGTGTCAGACACATGATAAATGCTGAGTATCCTGTGGATGAAGGGCCAAAGAATAGACCATGGCTTATAATGGGCACACTGCCTTCTGGGTAGTAATCCTAGGCTTGATTTTCATTAAGAAACATTTGAGATTTATCACTGAACCAAAGAAGCCATTTTTCAGTGATATTGAGGACCTGGTGAATTGAGGCCAGGAGAGCAGTTCCACCTTCAGGGCCTGGGCAGGAGGGGGGACGCTGGCTTCCGTGAGGTGTTAGTAAGGCCCACAGAGGGAGACAATGTCTCCACCACACTCTTGAGCACCTGGGCCGGACCCTGCCCTGTGGTTTGCTCCCAGGCCCTCAGGGAGCATGTGCAGGCCACACCGGGACTTGTGTCACAGCTCTGTCTCCTCCCCAGGGCCTCCAGGGAGAACGAGGAGAAAGGGGAACTCGAGGAGAAAAGGTATTTACAGTCTTCCTCTGCCCATCGGGACCACTTCCTGCAAATGGGGGGGGGGGGTGCCATGTGTGTGCGCATGCGTGCGTGTACACTCGTGCAGACACATAAACACAGCTCTACAAGAAGGCTGAGGTCTCATCGACATTTCCACCCAGGCAGAGTACAGCGAGCATGGTCAGAGCCACAGAGAAAGCCCAGATCCTGTTATCCCACGAGTGTGAATGCAGTGGGAGGCTGCGCCCACCTCTCAGCCCGGCCTTCCGCAGCCTTGAGACCAGAGGCCAAGAGCTCAGACAACCGGGACCCAACTTCCTGCCTGCGCTAGGCCCAGGCACCTCGTTGCCCGCCCCCCGTGCTGTCTTCCAGCTTTCTAAGGGCTGGTTTTTGGTTCATTGAGTGTGTCTTGGTATATTTGGGACAGAGTGAAAATGAGCCAGTAATCTGGCCGCAGCTGGCACAGCCGTGGCTGCCGTTGACACTTCTCCGCAGGACTTACTTTCGTCTCTAGCTTCTTTCCGCACTCGATTCTGTGAGCTCCGTGACCTGTGGGTGGGCCCTGTGGGTGATATTTCCTCCTGACTGTTGTGCACCTTTCAGATCTCAGCGTCACACAGCCCAACAGTGTTCACTGGGTGAATAAACTGCGATTTGTGTGCTCGTTCCCCTGGTATTGATCGTTTAGGGTCATTTCCAGGTTTCTCGCTTTGGTGGATATTTTTTAACTTAGAGCATTATGTATTTGGTTTTCAAATTTAGGGTTATTTCCTTAGGCCACCTTCCCAGGAGTAAAATTAGCAGTCAGAGAAAACGAGCCTGCTCTTGACTTCAGGGAGCGGCACCTCCGTCGCTTGCCTCGTAATTAAGCAAAGCCCAGACCAGCCTGTGTGGTGAGGGGCTGCCGGGTCTCCCTGGGACAGCATGCAGACGCGTGTTTCCTCTGGAGGCGGCTGCCCAGCGACTTAAGACTCCGGTGCCACGCACACCCTCCCGTGCTCATCCGTGTGACCCAGAGGCTGGGTTGCTCTTAGAACAGGGGTTGGCGGTCGCTACCTGGAACTTGCCTGGGAATGGCTGTCCCTGTCATCGTCTTGGAGGTAGCTAGAGGCGTGTGGGCGCAGAAGTCCCAGGTTCTAGCTGTCTCATCCTCACGTCCCATGGTGCTCAGCCCACAGCGGGAGGGCACTGGCCCCGACGGGGCAAGCGCGGCATGGTGATCGGAGGGGTGGGCTTTGCTCAGCTTCATGTCCCGAGGCCTCGTCAAGCCATCTGACTGTAGCAGGGATACCGCACACTTCTGGAGGGAGCCAGTGCCATGTGCTACGCGGTCCCCTCCGTGCACACGGAAGCTGCGTGGATTGCCAGGTCCTCCAGGGGTCTTGTCACACATCCGACTCCTTTTGTTTTTTGATGGTCCCGGGGACTCGATGCAGCGTTTGCTAGGCGAGCACTCTCATACCTGAGCCCTGCCTCGGCCCCACTTGTTTTATAGGGTTTTTTTTGCTTTTTTAAAGTGGGGTCTCCAGTTTTGTGTCTGTGGTGGCTTGGATGGCGAGCATCTTACTTGGTTTCTGCATGTTGCATGGGATGACAAGCCCCAGCCACTGCTTCCAACCATTGGTTGATATGGAGTCTCTAACTTCTCTTTGGCCAGGCTAGCCTCAAGCCACGTTCTCCTGATCTCTGCCTCACAAGTAATTATAATTCTAGGCTTGAGCCCCCACAGACGGCCAAATCCTAGACTTCAAAACTCGTGTGTGTGTGTGTGTGTGTGTGTGTGTGTGTGTGTGTGTGTGTGTGTGTGTGAAGTACCTATATGTCAAATCTTGTGAGATCTAAGCAGAGAGATGCAGGAGAAGAAAGGTGAGGGCTGGATTGGGGGCAATCACTTCTAGACACAGAGGTGGAGGGAGGGTCTTCGAGGAAGGGCAGGCCAGGGGGGTTTCTATCAGACTCGGAATTTTTCCCCCATGCTCCTTCATGTATTCTAACCAGGAACAAAGGAAAGAGGCACAAAATGCACTCCCTGTCCCCAAGCAACAAAGACACGTCATGGTGGAGAAGGGCTGTGGTGCTGGTTGGAGCGCAGAGAGTAACAGAGAAGAATGAAACCCACACCTGCCCGCCCTCCTCCCTCCAGGTGTCTCTGCCGCGGATGCGGAGGGCAGAGCTAGCTAGAGAGAGGCTCTGTGGGGCACACCAGCAGCAGGCTCCGGGGACAGGGGCAGTCATGTTCCTGAGGAGGAAGTTAGCCGGAGATGTGGAAGGTTCCTGGGCGTTGTCACTGGGACCTGTGGGCAATGGGGAGCCAGTGGGGTCAGGGGCAGAAAGTGCCAGACCCGAGCTAGGGAGTCGCTGCCACAGGGCCGGCATTGGTGGGAGCCAGGCCGGAGGCGGAGGGTGAGGGGCTAGATCAAGAGTCCATGCAGGACGGGATGGACCAGAGGGTGACTAGAGGAACAGGGAGACAAGCTCATTGTCTGCCCCACAAAGGCATGGAGGGAGGGCACGCCTCCCACCCCACCCCCTTTACTGCCAAGTCAGATGGGGGCTGCAGGCTGGAGAGTGGGCAGTCCAGGGAGAGGGCCATCCCTCTGCTGTGGGTGGGGTGAGCCTGCCCTCTGCTGTCAGAAATTGGGAACTGCAGCCAACGCGCTCCCACAGGGCCTGTGGGCTTTGCCGTCAGGACTGAGAGAGGGAATGAATTACACCTTTTCCCCTTTGGGGCTGTCTGTCTTCACGCAGCATCCAATCTCCAAGGCTTGGATTCCTGTACAAAGCAGCAGAAGAGTTAAGTGGTTGCAGCACATTTTAAACGAGCTGCTGCCCACATTATTACCCGCCCCAGTCGAATGGGGACGGATACCTCTTCATTCGCGTAAACTCTTATCCCCCCCTTGACTGAAAGGATGTGGGGGTGAAGACCTTCGTGACTAAAGAGTGGAGAACAGACTCAGGATTAGAACTCAGGGCTCCTGATTCCCCTCCCCCTATATCTCCCTCCTGTCAGCCCTCTCCCCTGCCCCCCCCAAGCCCTTTCCAACTGGCTTCTTTCCTTCTCTTCCTTCATTTTACCTATTTGCACTTTATTTTGTGTAAGCTGGTACATAGCTGGGAGAAGGCTGGCATGGCCTGCCATAGGAGGTGTTTTAGATGTGTTATCTCTGATAATTATGACTTCTGTGAAGCAGAGCAACAGCATATTCCCAGAAAGGTGAGCGGACTTGCTCAGGGTCCCATGCGAGTTGGAGACTCTGAATCCGCTGTGAGGGAATGTGAGCGGATGGATGGATGGTGCTGATGGCTTGTTGTCAGCCAGCGGCCCATGCTTAGTTCTCTGTGAGCATAGGGAATGGACACTGTGTAAGAGATGTGTGCCGTTTTATCACTTGTGGCATGAACCTCACACATCTGTTACTTCTGACTCCCACACAGAGCCACACGACAAGCAGAGTGGTGTGGTGTGGCTCACAGATGCTAAAGAGGCTGGTTCTGGGTCACAGTGTTTGAAAGAGAAAAAATATCTATGTCTCTTTGGTCTTTCCCCTCTGGTCCTGGGCCCCCCTCCACACACACACACACACACACACACACACACACACACACACACACACACACACACACACACACACACTTTCCAGTGGTACTTGGGGGACAGAGAAGTTGGGCGTGCAGACACTCAACCTTACTGCTTCTTGTGCCAGTGACTGCGGTGGGGTGGGTGTGGGGACATCCAATGAGCTGCTGTCTGAAGATGGTTTTCCCATGATTCATTTCTTCATTTCCTTCCTCCTGCCAGGGAGAACGAGGCTTGGATGGATTCCCCGGGAAGCCTGGGGAGACAGGGGAGCAGGTAGGTGGCGTAGGAGCTGCTGGGCAGCGTTTCTCAAAGAACAGGATTGTCTGCACCTTGCCATCAAGCTTTTTTTGTAGGCCTTGGCCCTCTGCTCCTCCTTGCTCAGCTAGAGGCCATGGGGGGGGGGGGGGCTTGGTGACCAGATCCCATCCGTGTGGCCGTGCATTACGCTGCTGACTTCCAAGCCGGAGGGGGTCCAGTGCACACATGAAGTTAAATCCAGTGTTCGTGAAGGGGTGTGACAGGCTCTCATTTGCACAAAGACCAGGGACACTGCACAGAGGTCAGAGGGATGTAGGTACAGGGGTCAAGATTACAATCTTACCCATAGAGTCAGGAAATAGACGCTCCTCAGTAGGAATGGGTTGAAAGTCTGCATGGGTGGAGGGGAAGGGCACGAAGCTGTGGACATGTGTCAAGAAATGTTCCTTACGCTGCTGTAGACTGTCACACACGCAGCTCAGCAGGGAGGAGGTACCCAGGATGGGAGCAGAAATGGACAGCCTCTGGAAGGTTCCTTCTGCTTTATCTTAGCGTGGAAGGAAGAGGGAGCCCTTGAGCACTTTCAGGGTACTCCTGTGTCTGAGTACATTCCTGCAAGACCTCCGGCTGCAGTGGGGGTCCAGGGCTTGCCCCTCTGCCTTCCAGAACCCTCTCCTTTCCTTGAGGAGCCTGACGTGTGGGCAACCCCGTGGGAGGCCCTGGGTCTCCTCTGCACCTCTCACAGGAGAAGCACAGCTTTCCCGCTGTGACTCTTGGGGGCGGGACTCTTGTGTGGGGACACTAAAGAGGAATGTGCCTTCTGCCAACTCTCAGTTCTCCTGTGTCCTGGCCAGAGTCCTGGCACTGGAGACCCAGCCGTTCCCAGATCTCCTCAGCGTTTACGCACAGTTCCATCTCTGTCTTGGGCCCAGGGCAGATCTGGGTGACTTGTTTCTTCCACTTCTCGCTCAGATTCTGATGTAGCCCTCCCCGCCCAAAGCGAAAGGGCTCAGAACGCAGTGTGAGCAGCCCAGTGCCAGCAGGGTTTGGAAAGGAGAAGCGGGGAGGAAGAACTTGCTAGCAGGAAGCACAGGTCTGGGCCATGGGGGCACCTGTCACCACCTACCTTTGCTTTCTTTCCTGCAGGGAAGACCTGGACCTCCGGGTATGCCAGGGCCTCCAGGAGAGAAGGTAAGTGTGGGTGGGGCTGCGGATGTGAGAGCTGCCCCCCCCCCCCCCCCGCGCTGACAAACCAGGGCCCAAGGGGACCCAGATGGGAGTTCTGGGGACAAAATACACAAAACAGGCCGAGCTGGGTACTGAGATTTCAGCCAGCATGACATTTCTGGCTATATTTGTTTGTTTGTTTTTTGTTAGTCGTGGGGCTTGAACTCTGGGCCTGGGCACTTGAACTCTGGGCTCTTCAGCTCAAGGCTGACCCTCTACCACTTGAGCCACAACAGCGCCACTTCCTGTTTTCTGGCAGTTAATTGTAGATAAGTGTCTCACGGACTTTCCTGCTCAGGCTGGCTTTGAACTGTGATCCTCCAATCTCAGCCTCCTGAGTAGCTAGGAGGGCAGGCGTGAGCCACTGGCGCCCAGCTGGCTGTTGTATCTAAATTGTTTCCCTGCCTTGAGGAGTAAAGTCAGGGGGAATAAAAACCCAAAGACAATATGATATAATTTCTAGAAATATTAAAGCCTTTTGCTACTTAAAATATTTTTGGACAATATAAGGCTAATAGATTTGTAATAAGCAGAGTAAAAGCTCAGGCTGCCATCCTGGTTATCCGTTTCGGAACGCCTTCTCACAAGGCTAAGTGGATACATTTGTTGCTTAGAATCTCTGGATCCCAAGCGAAATGACCGAAATGACCATATGTAACAGTTTTTGCAACTTGGGAAGTGCTCATAGAGACGTCCGTGTACATAATGACTTGGCAAAAGCCTTCAGGGTGAGGGAGAGGGGAAGGAGTTCCATGGTGGATTGTGGAGCATGGGAGAAGGGATGCTAAGAGTAGCTTGTGTGTGAGGCTGAGAGGAGGGTGTTTGTTCCAACTCAGTCCGGCTCTGGGCTGGAGGGCAGGGGGGGGACCGGCTGTGGAGGGCAGGAGGGGGGACTGGCTGTGGAGGGCGGGGGGGGGGGACCGGCTGTGGAGGGCGGGGGTGGGACTGGCTGTGGAGGGCGGGGGGGGGACTTGCTGTGGAGGGGGGCTACTGGCTGTGGAGGGGGGGACTGGCTGTGGATGGGGGGGACTGGCTGTGGAGGGTGGGGGTGGGACTGGCTGTGGAGGGCGGGGGGGGACTTGCTGTGGAGGGTGGGGGGGGACTGGCTGTGGATGGGGGGGACTGGCTGTGGATGGGGGGGACTGGCTGTGGAGGGCGGGGGGGGGACTGGCTGTGGAGGGCGGGGGGGGACTTGCTGTGGAGGGTGGGGGGGACTGGCTGTGGAGGGCGGGGGGGGACTGGCTGTGGATGGGGGGGACTGGCTGTGGATGGGGGGGACTGGCTGTGGAGGGCGGGGGTGGGACTGGCTGTGGAGGGCGGGGGGGGACTTGCTGTGGAGGGTGGGGGGGACTGGCTGTGGAGGGCGGGGGGGGGAGACCGGCTGTGGAGGGGGGGGGGGAGACCGGCTGTGGAGGGCGGGGGGGGGGGGACCGGCTGTGGAGGGTGGGGGGGGACTTGCTGTGGAGGGCGGGGGTGGGACTGGCTGTGGAGGGCGGGGGGGGGGGGCCGGCAGTGGAGGGCAGGGGGGGGGACCGGCTGTGGAGGACAACCATCCGGCGGTGCTGCTGAGATGGTAGATCAGAGCAGCTTCCGGGTGTCCAGGTGGAGGACATCGGGGGACAGTCCAGTTCTACATACACCCCCAAAGTAATAGGGAAGGTGTTGCCGACTGTTTACAGCAGCAGCAGAGAAGGTGCATTCTACAGAAATAGTGAAGCACAGCGCAGGCCGGGGACTGAGGCGTGGCAGCTCCTGCTGGGGGGGGTGGGGGAGGGGTTCCTCCTCCACTGCCATTGTGTCAGTTCCCTCTCTCATGCAAGGGGTTTTCAGAGCTGAGGTGTGCATGGTTAGAATGTCCTGGATATCATGGAGGATATCCAGGATATTCTCCACAGGGGATGTTAAGCCCTTAGTGTGTTCATGTCAAGTCAGGCAGATGCCTGAAGTTGCCACTTAGGTTATAACTGTTTGCTGCTGCTGCTGCTGCTGCTGCTGCTGCTGTGTGTGTGTGTGTGATGGGTGTGGACCCTCATATCAGGAGAAGCACTGAGTTATCCTCATTGTGATGCGTTCAGCAGTTGAAGGGCAGATAAGGTGAAGGGACATTAAACAGTTCACTGAGATACTCCAGGACGCAGCAAGGCGCAGGTGGTTTTATGACCCTCATCTCATTCCTAGAGTGCACACCTTGGATTTTGTAGACTCTTTAATGTCATGCATTCTTTGAGCAAGTCACTGGGACCATGGGGTGGTCTTTTAGAGCACAAGAGACCCAGAGGCCCTCAAGCGTGGGTGTCTCTCCCCTAACTTCACAGCCAAGTTGATTCTAGACAAAGTCTCAGGTTCAGAGTATCCATCCAAAGCTGTGCTGCCCGGTCTTATTGAACTCTTTGTTGGGCATGAACCTCTTCTGTGTGTGTGTGTGTGTGTGTGTGTGTGTGTGTGTGTGTGTGTGTGTGTGTGTGTGTGCATGTGTGTGTGCATGTGCGCACGCACGTGTGCTATTACTGGAGCTTGAACTCAGCTTGAGCTGTCCCTGGGCTGTTTTGCTCAGGGCTAACACTCTACCCCTTGAGTCACAGAACTACTTCTGGCTTTTGGATGGTTATTTGGAGATAAGGAGCCACAGATCTCCCTTCCTGGGCTGGTTTCAAACTGTGATCCTCAGGTCTCAGCCTCCTGACAAGCAAGGATTACAGGTGTGAGCCACCAGGGCCCAGTGGAAATCAAGTCTTTATGTCACATTAGGAATTTTACTAGCTCAACTCTGTGGTTATATTAGCCATCCATTTCTATGTAACCAGTGATCCTAAACCGTAGTCGCTTCACACAATGAGTGTTTGTCATCTCACAGTTTTAGAGGACAGGGGTCTAGGAGACATGACTGGACTGTCTGGGCTCAGGAGCCCGCCTGGGGCTGCTCAGTCCACAGAGCAGGCTTTCAAGGACCTCCTGTTCCCTCCTTGTGTGTTGCTCGGTAGGCATTTCCTTCATGGCTGTCAGCTAGAAGCCCCTCTCCTTCCATGGTGTTCCCACGAGGCTGCTCACACTGGACATTGTTCCACCGAGTGCCTGAGTGAAGGGGGAGGGAAAACTCGGGATGGCAGGTGCAGCCATGTTTATGACATAATCACGGGAAGCCTGCCATGTGGAGAAATGCCAGAAAGGCCGCCCGGAGACACCTGAGGTGGCCAAGACTCCTCACGAACTGCAATGTTTCTAGAAAAAGACTTGACTCTCTCGAATCCAGTTTTATTTTTTTTTTACCTTGGTCCCTAAATATCTCTGTGCCTCAGAGTGTCCTTGTCCCTGAGATGAGAAGGTCACACCCTAGAGAAAAAGGATGATTCATAGCAACTTCTTGGAGAAAGTTCTCATGCAGCTATAGGTGACGTGTGCACAGCGGTTATGGGAAATTCCAGGATCTTACCTTTCCTTAGAGATCATTTAACGTATCCCAACTGTGAGTGATTCAAACATGTGTCAAGTGCCTTTATAGTTATTATGGAAAGCTAACTTTTGTTAGCAACGATGACAATGTTCAAAATATAAAGAGTGAATGTGTTAGTGATGCAATGCACAAATGTGTAAATGAAAGCGTTATGGCTCTTTTTACCAGGTCTCAGCAATCTGATCTTACCGAAAATTACTGTGGCTTGTAGAAGCCACTATCCTCAGAGCCTGGGCACTGTCCCTGAGCTTTTTTGCTCAAGGCTAGCATTCTACCACTTGAGCCACAGCTCTACTTCTGGCTTTTTGATGGTTATTTGGAGATTAAAAAAAAAATTCACAGATCTCCCTTCCTGGGCTGGCTTCAAACCATGATCCTCAGATCTCAGCCTCCTGACAAGGGAGGATTACAGGTGTGAGCCACCAGGGCCCAGTGGGAATGAAGTCTTTGTGCCACTTTATGGGAAGAGGCAAGTGCTTTGGCAGGAAACGCGATGTCCCTGAGCGAGGATCAGGGTGCGTGACTGTCATGTGTACACATCACAGAAGCGCCGGGTCATGGTATAGAATGGCTTCAACTACACGGTGTGGGCATGCACGTGTGTGGGTGTGCCCCGTGTGTGGGTCCATGTGTGTTCACCTGTGTGGGCAGTGGTAACACCAAGAGGAAGAAAACCCGGATAAACCACATTTGTGAGGCAGAAAGCTCAGTAATCACATAGGAAAGACCAAAAAGGAGGTAGGTAAGGAAGCTGCACCCACACGCTTTGACATCGCAAGATGGGCAGAGGAGATTTTAGGGATTCTCTTGGTGCTACACCAAAGGAGGTGAGTTTCCCGTGCCTGGAGCAGGCGTGGGAGTCAGTGGACGTAGGAAGGAGAGGAACGTGTGCATAGGCCTGGTGTCAGAGGGAGGGTCTGAAGTGAGAGCAGCCAAGGGGGATGGGACCCTGTCCACCTAACATTTCCCAGAATGCAGCGCAGGATGGCAGACGTGCCCTCCGCCACTTGTGCTTATTTTTTGACCTTAGGATACAAGAGATGTCTTCACGTGTGTTTGGTGTCTTATTTCTTCATTTGATCGTTTTTGACCTCTTCTCATGACCCCTGAGCCGAGTCGAGGGTAAAGGAGAGCAGGTTGTGTGTAGGACAAAGATACAAGCACTCTCTTTGCTTAAGTTAGATACCAGAGTGAGGTCAACGTGCGATAGAGGGATTTGAATTTGCACAGTAGACAAGTCTCCATGCAGAGCACAACATTGTTCAGATCTTGGGAAATACAATATGGCCAAGCCATGGCCATGGTAGCCCAGGGGACTATACACCAAGGGGACAGATGTGTGGCGTCTTTTCTATAGCACAAGTAAGATGGCTGGACAGCATTGCAGTCATTTGCTTAGTCCTTCCATAGATATTAGTTGAGCGCTGGTTGTATGAACTTAGCACAATGGTCATGTTACCAGTTATAGCTCACGATTCCTTTTGTGCCTAGCACAGTGCCTGCTCCCTGCCGGTGCCCACTGAGTGGCGGACCGAGGGCTGTTCTCAAAGCAGCATGTATTTGCACAAATCCCAGGAGAGGTTCATAGTCCCCCAGCCAGAGGCAGGCCCTGAGCTGAACGTACACAAAGAGAAAACTCAGAAAGCTGAGTCTGATGCAGAGGTAAGAACCAGATGCAGAAGCTTCCAGAATACTGCCGTGGTATAATAAGTCCAGGCATGAGAGACTGACACTGCTGAGGGTACTCCAAGGAAGTCCTCTGGGATTAGAAGAGTAGGCAGGGACTGGGGGCTTGGCGGTGGCAGTGTGTAACTGATTGAAAGTGCTCGCTATTTCTCCACAGGGTGAAGCTGGACCTACATGCTCTCCTGGTGTGCCAGGCTCTGTGGTGAGTCACCAGCGGTGGGCACTCTGATGGGACTGGGTTAGCGGAAGGGTCTTTACCTCAAAGCATAAAGACAATGACAGGCATGAGACAGAAAGCTTTCAACACACATACACACACACACACACACACACACACACACACACACACAAATGGGATCAAATCAGATACAAGCCCGAAACTGCCCAATCACAGCATGGCATGTGAATGCCCTGGATGGGCTGGAGTGAGTGTGGCTGCTGCCGAGAGAGGGCCAGCCCCTTCTCTAACACCTGTTTGTCTCACAGATGCAGAGAGAGGGCCCGAAGGGAGAGCAGGTAAGCGGACGCAGAGCCTCCCATTGTGGGGATTTCAGTTGTGGAAGTGGGAGGGCCACAGGCAAGGAGTCAGGATCCACGGAGCCTTGGGCAGGGATGGGCCCTGTCGGCTCCCTGCCAGGAAGGCAGGTGCCTTACCGATGTCACTGAATGCCTATTAGGGATGAGGGCCACAAACTCCTGTCAGGGGGTGGTGGTCCCGGTGTTGGTCTGGGTCAGGTGGAGGACGATGGGAAGGGTCACGGAGAATGTATGTGCTGCTTGTGTTTCTAGGGGGCTCCAGGACCAAGAGGTCACCAGGGCCCGCCTGGACCACCAGGGGCACCGGTAAGCCATCCTTCTCCGGCTCAGGGTGGGCTTAGAATTTCCCCAGGCCTGAGAAATAATTGTGCTTCCCACTGATGTGCGTAGCTCAGAAACCTGGACATGACCCTGAAATCAGCCACCCAGGAAACCAGACCTGAGTGTCCCAGAACTCACTTCACCTAATGCATAAGGGTCTATATACTACAGGATCATGAGAAGGACCACCAGGACAGCCAATCTGTCGGCCCACAGAGCTGTCCGTGGTCCTGAAGATACCCTCCAGGCCAGGTGCTCCTGATAGAATGAGGGTTAGTAAAATACGTGGTACTAAACGGTACTAACCTAAATACATGGTTGGTGAAATTCCCTTGGGCAGAGTTCAGAAAGCCACCAGCCTAGCTAACGGCTTTGTTCAAAGGAGGGCAATAGTGAAAGATCAGAGACAGGAAGATCCTTCAAGACAGGACCAACTTCGTTACATTCAGTGTTTCTTGCAAAACCAGAGCATAAGATATGCGTGTAACGGGATGGCCCTCAACTGGGCACTCAAGGGGAGAGCACTAATGTGGGTCTGATTGAAGTGTGAGCTTATAAAGATCAGTGTGGCTCTGGCAAGCACCAGGGATGAAGAGCCAAAGCAGCATTTGGCTTTCCGTCCATGCTTACCCACAAAGTAGATTTATGTCTACTTTGGGAAGTCATCTTGATCATCTCACCTAACCATGCTACAAAGGTTAAATGAACTAATATACAAAGCAGGGGCTTACGAAGGCTTATTAAGACCAGCTTCAATGTCAGTGGTTGTTTCTACGTGTTTTGAGTCCCCAAGGCCCCTGGATCAGGGTGCATAGAGCAATTGCTTCCTAAATATTCATCCAACTGAACTGAAATGAGAAGATGGCTTCAGTGACGTCTGTCGAGAATGGAAAGTTTTAAGTTTGTGTTCAGCAAACCCAGAGAGAGGAAAAACATATCCTATTCTCTAAGTGGAAACTGTGTGCAGCATTCTGCATCCAAATGCTGACCACTTTTACCCTTTCTCCATGATGAAATAGGCCCTGGTAGTTTTACCAATGTCTGGTTGAGTGTAAGACAAGTCCAACTGAGCAAATCGATGCCATCCATTTCTTGCTGCTTAATCCAGACTGAATCCGCTATGGTCTTCTCTCCCCATATGCCCTGAGTCTAGCAGAGCTGTTCGTACAAGGGAGGGGTAGGCACACCTTTAATTCTTGCAGTCTGTGCATTGCTGAGTTCATTTACAAAGCAGTATTAAAGAAGTCATATCTAAATACAGCTTGGTCACCAACTATTTATGCAACATTTGTCAGTAGGGGCAGTTAGGATGATAATGCTATTTATTTCAGATGAGGAAGTTGAAGTGTAGAGAGGACTATGATTTACTCAGAAGCAGTGATGGAGCCGGAGCTTGAGTCAGGGTTCTTGGCTGTCCATTTGGCTTCTCTGTAGGTTCTAGAAGCTCTCAGTGAAGACATCCATGCGGTACTGGGTCATGACATTAGCGCCCACACTTCTTGTGGTTTTCTCAAGTGCTTTGGGAAACCAGTCCATTCTTCATTGTTGAAGTTCAACAATGACAAATGACTAAACTGACAGAACCAGAGGCCTTGTTGGACAATGCCAAGTGACGTTCGCAGCAGGTCCAAGAAAGGGTGAGGGCGTGGGATATGAGTGAGGATTGTGTCACACCTCACTTCCACCCCCAGTAAAGCTCCTTACCTAGGCAAGAGTGCATTTCTTTCCTACACATTTTAATTTCCTTGTCCCTTGCACAGCATTGATGCCTGAGAGTTGGGAGACCGAGGCTAGTTCCTTTTATTATTATTATTATTATTATTTTATCGGTTGTGGGGGTTGAACTCTGGGCCTGGGTATTCTCCCTCAGCTCTTTAGCTCAAGGTGAGTGCTCTACCACTTGAGTCACAGCGCCACTTCTGGTTTTCGGGTGGTTTATTGGAGATAAAAGTCTCATGGCTTCTCCTGCCCAGGCTGGCTTTGAACCGTGATCCTCAGATCTCAGCCTCCTGACAGGCGTGAGCCACCGGTGCCTGGCTTTTTATTTTATTTTTAAATTATAGTTTACTACTGTTAAGTAGTTGGACAAAGGAGTTATCTTTCAACAAAGATAAAGCTAGTTCTTTCTGAGCCAGCAAGCTGTAAGAAAAAGGGCCTTGGGCTTAGAATCTAATGCTTGTGCTATAGTTTGGTTCTTCTGTGTGTGCTTTACAGAGTCCATTAAAGTAAGCCATCGACTCCTTACTGTGCTTATCAGTAAAGTTCACATGGCATTGCTTACGTCTTCCTTGTTAACCATACTAATTAGGCCAAAGAGATCTCCATATTTTTAAAGTGAATTGGAAATAATTTGTTGTTCGTTCTCTCCTGACCTTACAATTTCATATTAGGAGGCAAGATTTCCCCATCCACCAAGAGGAATAACCTGTGCTTTTAAACCCTGCATTTACTACTCGCCCTCTCTTCTTCTTTTTTCCCTTCCTAAAGGGTCTGCTTGGTCCAGAAGGCAAAGATGGAGCCCCTGGCTTACAAGGTCTCCGAGTAAGTAAACTGTCTTCCCTTTCCAATGCCCAGCGTATGCACACTGGATTACAGTTTATAAGGACAGGAGCCAGCTTCAGGTACCTGGCATTAACACTGCAATCAGAAGAAGGGTAGACTCAGCTCGCTTTTCTGTGAAACTACCATGTAATGTGCCCTGGTTCAGGTTTGGCAGCATGGAGATGTTTGTGACTCGGGTATGCAGTAATGCACATCCTTGTGTGATCAAAGTGCCTGATAGAGGGCGGTCCAGTGCTGGGCACAGCACACAAGAGGCCTAGCCTGGAGGTCATTGGAGCCTCATGAAGGAGGTGAGATTTGGACTAAGCTTTAAGAAAAGCCTAAGGGAAAATAGGAACAAAGAGGGCTCTTCTAACACGTTACACTGCTTAACCAGGTATCCATATTATCATTGAATATCATGTTCCGTGTGGCGCTTAATTTAATCTTTTGATTTAATTAAGCATCTGTCTTATGTAAATTAGACATCCTTGATGTGTTTTAACATTGCCAGTATGCCTGGCTCTTGCCACAGGTTTAAGCAGAAGAGCTGCAGAAACATAACCAGGGTGAGATTCCCTCCTGTGCATCCACAGCAAATGGGGCTGGACCCAGGTCCAATGCTGGGTCCCTGTTAGCATGAAGCTAACAACATGGTGTCTGACACAGAGTGAGGGTGTCACGCACTTGTAGAGCTCTGAGGTGCAGGCCCTCCTTCCTGCTGTACGGAGCAAGCTGTACCCAAGGCACTGGCATCCTGCCCTGGAGCTTGGGGTGGCTGCTCCTGTCCCCCCTGGAGGGCGTTGTCTACAGGACAAAGGAACACTGACTGCCCGGAGGATGCAGGATGCCCTGGCGTCTGGCAGAAGCATCCCCATTCGTTCAGAAGACCCTCTGACTCAGTTGGGCAGTGGTATTGGGAATCAGCTGTGGATTGATAGTCAGACGGAATCAGGCCGCTCTATCCTCCTTGCTAGAATCAGGTTGCTCTTCTTCTCACAAACTCCAATCTGTCCTTCCTCACCAGTAAGATTTAACTCTTCGATTCCCAAACAACTCTGCAGTGAATTTTCAAGATTCTAGGACTTGTTTAGAAGGCCTGTGATGGTGATATGGTGGTGATCTGTAGGTGAGAGATAAGGGAATGAGTTCTTCCAATTCTAATACCTTGGAAATGCCACTCCTCATTCAACACACCCAGCCTGAGCCTCAGTTTCCCTGTCTGTCAAATGAGGAAGTCAGTTGGCTGGTTGCTCTCTCCTCTGTACAGTGGAAGGATCCTGGATGTGAGGTCCTGACTCACTTCCCAGCAGCTGCGGGATGCTGGCAAGTCGCTTGGCCTCTCCTGGCCTGTCCTCTTGTTATAGGGAGGAAGGCGTCGCCATGGGGAAGCTGCTAGGAGGAAGGGCGCTCAGGGTGGCAGCAGGCTCCCTCTCTGCATGCGCACACACGCCCTTCAGGGACAACCGCATGCTGTGATTAGTGTTTATGTGGACCTATCTCTAGTCTACACTTGGACAGCTACAAGTGCTATTTTACAACAGCTTGTCAGAGCTTGCCTCTCAGGCCTGCACTTCCTCATTGTGTGTAATTTTCTGGAATCTTCTGAGGTTTATGTTTCCATGGATGACGGCTGCCATCTCCAGAAGCACCTGTTACCTCTAAGTGAAAAGCCAACCACAGATGCAGTAGGGACTAGGCCTGGCCAAGCTTAACATGGGTCAGGGGCTTTGGGAATTGGGCAGATGCACATGTTCTGTATACCGGATGAAAAGCACGAAGCTGTGTCTTCCTGTTCAGGCTCTGGCAGTCAGTACTGCACTGGGAACACTCAGCCAATCCTGTTTTATATTCTTTTTGCCTATCTCTTTGCCTCTGTTGTTGGGTATCTCCCTGCCCTTCCCCATCCCTGCCTCTTCTCTAGTCCCTTCCTTCTGGAGGATCAAGTAATTTCTTCAGTGTTAACTGGCTCCAGCTGTTGTCTGAGTTCAGTTAGAAAGGCAATTCAGTCTCTCAAGGCAGGATGAGAGAGTTTTAAAGACAAGCATGTAACTTGGTGATGCAGGAATGCCTGGTCCATTGATGAGTTCATGAATGGACTCTCAGGACTTGGGCTGGCCATGCTGAGGGCTGGGGGACAGACGCACCAGGCAGAGGGAGATGTTGGAGATATGCTCTGGGACTAGAGCTGGAGCTGCGTTGGCATGTTTAGACCAGAGACCAGCGTGGCTAGAGCTGGCCAGGAGTCAAGCAGCAAGGGGTGGAGTCTGAGGAATTAGGAGCCATTTGTGTCGGGCCATGTGAATGTATTCTATCTAAAGGCTTTATATAGACTATTCTTTATAAAGGCTGGGAGGGAATTGGAGGGGGCTGCTGTATGCTTTTAATATGTTTTATTATAATAAAAATGCAACAGTAGAACACAGTCCCATATATCCCATATCCACTTTCCATGTCATTGAAAAACATGCTTTATTTGTACCCAAAGCCACGTCTCCCACCATTGTAAGTACTGACGGTGATGGCTAATGTCACGTCATTTTGTTTTCTGAGTATTTCAGTACATCATCTCCAAAAGCTAAAGGATTCAAGAGAAACACAACTGTCATACCATTGTCCCACCTAAACCTGTGAGTGCCATTTGAAGTTTCACCAAATATTGATCTTTGGGTTCATCACCAAATATTGATCTTTGGGTTCAGCATGTTCCACATCTCATCTGTTTCTGGCTGTGGTTTGCTTGCTGCAGACGTCTGAATACCGCAGAGGTAGCCTGGCATGCGTTCGGGGCACATCCATTTGGTGGCTGGGTTGAGGATAGGTTACAGAGTAGAGAGAGACCAGACTGGCTGCAAGGTGATTACATCATCAAGGTGGAGTCTCCCATCAAGAGCAGGAGCTAGATGGTGCGGAGGGCTTTGAGTGACCATCACAGTCCATGTGACAGGTGGCAGGGATGAGAGGGGACAAGAAAAAGACAGAAGTCAAGTCCTGAAAGATCCAGCACCTAGCAGCGTGGAGCACAGATTGCAAGGTGGGCGATGAAGGTGGCGATTCAGGGCAGAGTGGAAGTACCGAGGCGCTCCCCTCTTGTTCAGCTTCCTCTCCTGGATTGCACATGGTGACATAGATGTCTTTGGATCCTCTGTGAGTCCTGGATGGCTCCCTGGTTCAACCCCATCCTGCGGCCTTGCTTGTTCCGTGTTTGCAGCAATGGAAGAGAGTTGAAAGCTCATGTGATGTTGGGAGGCCGGGAGCTAGCGGCTTCCTGCGCCCCCATGCACCGCTGAGTCAGGGAAACCTGAGACAGAACTGACAGCTCTGCTTCCCTCACCACCGCCTGTCACTTCCTCCTCATCAGTTTGAATAGAAACATCACTCAGCAGAGCCCTTGAGCGTCAAGGCAAACAGCCGGGCCACACAGAGGAAGAGCGGGCACCAGCAAGATGCAGAAACCTGTGGATGGAGATGCAGAGCTAAAACAGGGGTTGGAGGAAGAGTCTGGGCCCTCTGTTTTAGAGATTAGTGCCAGACAGACTGCATGATTCTTTGCAAGGTAAATCCATTCGTTTTGGACCAAGCCAGTACTTTTTCCGCAATGACACCAGTGAGAGGGGAGAGTTGAGAGCCGACGGCACACTGCGGCAGCCTGCCGGGATCGCAGCAGGAACAGAGACACTTTGCCTTAACATCCTGCTGCTGGTCTGTCCTAGGCAGTCAGAAGCAAGCAGGAAGCCTGGCAGTTAGCTGACATGAGCCCGGTTACCGCTGAGTCTGGAACATTCCAGCAGAAGAGCCAGCCGAGGCCAAGGCCACACTAGCATTTGGACATGCCAGAGTTCCAGGAAACTGACTTCCCCCCAGAGTTTTCCCATTCTCGTTGTTCAGCCCCACACAGCAGTCCTGTTCTTGTGTCTATCTTCATGCGCTGCCGAGAACTTACTCAATATGTTCTCATTTAGAATTCATTCATTTTTCTCCATTAGAACATAATACTATGAGAGCTGGGATTTTTTTCCTTCTCTGTTTTTATATTCACAGTTCCAAGAAGAATACTTCGCACTCAGAAAACATACACACTGTATATACACATAAATTACTTAGATTCAGCTGGGCACTGCTGGCTCACACCTGTAATCCTAACGACTCAGGAGGCTGAGGTCTGAGGATTGCAGTTTGAAGCCAAGTCCATGAGACTCTAATTTCCAGTTTACCAGCAAAAAGCAGAAGTGGAGCTGTGGCTTGAGTGGCAGAGCACCAGCCCTGGTTGAAAAAAACTAAAGGATAGTGCCTAGGCCTTGATTTTAAGCTCCAGCAACATGTAATATTTAAACACTTAGTCATTGCTTGCCTTCCTTCTCTTGAATAAGCTATGTGTAAGAATGAAGGAACGCACAAGAACGAAGGAGCACAGTGTGGATCCAGGTCTGTGGGCACAGACACACATGTCAGAGAGGACAAGGCCTGTGGTCAGAGATGGTGCCTGTTCACCTGGCTTCTGACCTTGAGCAGGGAAAATATCCAGTGTCAGAGTAGAAAAAGGGTGGCCATGCCTTGCTCTGGTATTGAATCTTGGAGGAAATAACCCAGCATCTTTGTTCCTTTTTGGAAAGGAATGCTCAAGAAAATCTCATGTAGCCAGGCACTTCAGTATCATATAAAATGTGGAATGCCTGAGCTCTAGAAACATCACAGTAGAAGAGGGCTCTAAAACTCACCGAGAAATTTTATGTTCAGAAAGACAAAAAAAAAAAAGGCTTCTTCGAGGATGCAAGGTTTTTGTCTTTGCTGTTTGCACACGTTCAAAGCAATCTCTGATTTCTTTGATTATTTTCTTAACATTGTCTGGTTTCTATTCACTCATAGATAAAAACTGAAGCATTGATCCTGTCGGATATGGTATGATCACTGTATTTCTTACTACAGATGTGCCAGTGGCATTAAGAACACATTTTCAAACCAGAATTGATCTATGCCCCTGTAGAGGTAAAATAAGGAAG